ATAGCTACATAGTCACTTGATCAACGATACTTTTTGGTCCTTGTAAGCTCAAATAGCATAGACAATCATAATTTTCAGAGCTATTATGTGTCACGATGATCGCATCGACACTTATAATATTTAAATATGTATTTTTTTTTCATTCAAAAAGGAATGAATACTAGCTGTTTAAACTAAAAAAATTATCACGTTCCCAAGATAAAAAAATGGTAATAAAATATCTGATACTTAATAGATTGTACAAACAGATTTATTCTAATTTACTTCCCATATATTCTATGACAATTGGCTATTATTAATGAACTGGAAGTGAATGATTGAATACCAGAATATAAACAGCCTTATTTATCTATCGTTATCGTTTAAGCTAAGGTTTTATTGCACGTCATAGAATTAAAATTTAATCTTTTTAGAGTTTAATATAAAAGATCGTAAAACAGAGGTCATGTATTTATTGAGATCAATAATTTGATAATATTCAAACATAACGCTACAAATTTCGTCACGTCACATGTCATTTAACCTTTACTAATACAGGTAAATTATTAAAAAAAATAAAGTAAGACATTATGATGAGAACAATAATTTTCTTAGATGACTTATATTGATTCGATATTCAAACTAGTTTTTCTAAGTATGAATGATGGACGAATGGCGATTGAACATGCAATGCACAGATTAATTTTTAAGATATACCTAATGGCGAGGTTTTTAATATAACATTTCCTTAAAAGAACCATGAAAATTTGTAATGATGTTACTTTAGATTACAAATTACCAATTCATGTTATCTCAGAAATGTAAGTTTTTTGTATTTATATATTTTTATTCAAATAAATACATTATTTTGCTTCCGATTTCAACACCTGTGTAATTTGACGGACAAATTTAAAATATTTCCGGTAGTTATCATTTAAAATATGTATTGAATATACTAAACTTTAATGTGTAATTTACAGTCAATGATGTTATGGGTCATTATCGAATAAATCACTTGGTTTGTTTGTGTCACACAGCCTTGCGTCACATGTCCAATCACTTGTAAGATTAACAGTTCATTCATCATAAATAATTGTTTATATATTTTATTAGGTTTTATCCTTACATTGTGGACACTCAGATGTTTGTAAATAACCGCAATTAAGGACCAGAGCAATAAAGGACCACTTTTATCTTTTATATTCCTTTGGTACCGATTACTTTAAATCAATGAAAATAATTGTTCTATTTTATTAGAGTAGGTTCGACATATTTTCTTTAGCATTTTAATAAAGGTAGGTACCAAATTCAATCTTTGCAATAAGGTCCCTGTTAGGTTAGGTGACAAATCTATCGTCGCGCATCGATCGTAGAGCACAAAGTCTAGTCTAAATACGTTATAACTTATGATACATTAACAAGCCAATATTGTAATTTGGTATTAAATAATAGAATGCTATCACTATTTCTTGTATAGATTATTATTTACTTTTACATAAGATTCGCTGCATAAGTGAAGCTACAATCGGCTGACCGGTGGGCCAGCCCACTAAGTAAATACGATCGTATCACGAAACTAGAACGAGCACAATGAACGTTCGGTTCAATGCAACTATTCAATAGAATAAACTTTTCAAATTCCCGCTTGAAATTCAATGATAGCCGAATGCATCGTAACCTTTTGACCTTCGAATGCCTTCAAACGTCATCTATTGGCGCCAAAACTTATTTTGACAGTTTGATAACGAGTTTGCCAGTATTAAAATATTAATTTAATGAGCAAGGATTGGACACCAAAAATAATAATTAGGTAATCCTGTCTACACAGGGACGTGACAATAATTAATTCATAGTCAATAATTTTTCTTCTTTTGGTCGACTATAAACCTATTAGTTATTAGCACGTTGCTGGAAATCGTTTAAATATAATTGATTACTGTTTTAAATAATAAATCTTATTGATACTTTGACTTCTTAGTAATAGATTTACCTACATTGTCCTGTGGTTTACACGTAATTGGTAATTGGTTTACTTGCATAAAAGTTAAACGTGATTTATACTCGCTTCGTCACAAATAAGATCAGAAATCCTCCACCGTTTTCATGACGTTAACATAAGCAAAATTTTCGTTAAATTTGTTAAAAACCGTGCTCGATTCAGAAGGTCGAATATAGATGATAGATAAGAAAATCAGACTCGTATATATCGTGCTAGTATTCAGAATTCCAAGCTGCATCATAATCGCATGATGCATGCAATGCCAAGGACTTGCCACTTGAGTACTTCCAGCCAGCCTTCTGATGTACAAGAATAAACGCACAGATAAAATATGCAAATTAAACAATTACGTACACTGTAAAATGTCGAATGGGATTAACTTATTTTATGCTTATTTTTTAATCGCCCTTTTGTGTTTTTAAGAAACATTTTTTAATGTCGGTTGCTGGCAGGAAACTGGTTTCAGATGATAAAGAACAAACTTGTCCTGTCAAAGTGCAGATCGATATTTTAATGATTTTATTTTTATTTTTATAGGCCAACTAGTATCTAGTACGTAAACAAAACAAAAAAGGAGGTTAACCATAGCAACTATATTTACAAAAAGTAAAAACAAAAATGTTTCTTTTTTAGAAAAGTAGGTAATTTCAGCGCTTATTTTCCATTTTTCAAACAGTAGGTACCGAAATGCAAAAAGATTGCATACACAAAATGAAAAACATCAACTTGTCATTTATATCTATTAATTTTTTACCCGACTACGGCAAAGCAAAAGGAGGATTATGTATGATTTTGACAGGCTATGTAGGTATGTTCATCTGTTCCCACATAACTTCCAAATTACTTATCAGAATTCAACATATGTCATATCATTAGAAACGTCTTAATTGTCCGCGACTGTTATCAAAGTGCAGGTAGGTATGGTAAGTAAATGTAACGTGTGACTACGCCTTTCAGTATTCTGAAAATTTTGTTTTATACTTTATCAGCGTCCGTTTTTGTCGTAGTTGGGTTTTACATTTTATACTTTTTATTATTTTCAATAATTTTTGAAAATCGCATTTAAATCATTTAAAGCCATAAATACACAGATAAAATTACAAAGACTTACAAAGATGACATAGGTACGCTTGATTTGGCAAGCCCGAGAATCCTGAATTCTCGCCAGCGACCAAAAATCATTCTTACAATAAAAAAAACTAATTGCGATTCCAATTTGAACATGGCCAATTGAATTCTTAGTCCTTGTATAAATAAAATTTGTTTTATTTATTTAGGAAATAAAATAAAAATGTATCAAATAATGTAAGGTTGTCGGTTTCATGAATACGCATGAGTGAAAAAGTTTACAGTCGATTAGTTCTAAATTATTTAGAAAAGTGACGCACCTTTTTCTCTTAATTTTCATGACAATTTAAATGTTACAAGGTCGTATTTACTACTCCGTGTAGGTCGTTTAGTTTAGATATGTATACTGTATAAATGAAAAATACCATTTCATTATATGTATACATTAACTTAGGTGAATTACCAGATATACATTAACTTAGGTAAATTTGTTACATAGCTTAGGTAAATACCTAGGTAGACATAAACGTGTATAATTAGGTACGCTAGGTTAGCACCTAGGTACCTATCTAATAGCGAGAATTAGAAATAAGTATTTTTTTCGTCTTGGAGCAACAAAATAAATCTGTACTCTATCTGTATAACTTTAGGGTTTGGAATATCATATGCTGTCATCATGATGAGCTGTGTCATGTTATGTGTGCGAAAACATTGCAAATACCCGTCCGTATACTCTTCATACATACATATTGTACGAAATTGTTCTAAATTCGGTACATCAATCGACTTTTTATAGTGTTCACATTGAAATTTTGACGAGGAACGTCGATCGTAAAAATAATGGAGTTTTCTTGAGTTATATTTTAACATCGCGTTTCTACCAGACACCCCTTATAAATGTATCTAAAGTAAATACTGCAAATAAACTTTTTGTTTATATTCAAATCCGCCATGATGCGCGTTGAGCTGCGCGTGAAGCTTTTCCTGTGAAACACTGAACTTTATTTTTGCAAATTTTATAGGATCTTGGTTTATGGAGGTGTGTATTTGCTTATTATTTAGCATTGACGCAGATTATGCAGATTCGCTTGCTTGATTTCAAAACAGAAACTAGGATGTTATAATATATGTAATTATGGACAATTAGGTACAGTAAGCTTGATAATATTGCTAATGATAAGGCATACGAAAAATTCTTGATAATTTTTAACATAGATACTTTTAAACCTAGTTAAATGTGCCTGAAAGTACCTATATCAAAACAATAAAAAACACACTCGAACAAAATTTAAAATATCATAAACGAACAAAAATCAAACGCAGCAATGTTTAAACAGACCGTATTTTAGAAGTAAACTTATTAACTGCGTACCTACAACATTGATATAAACTGCGTGAATGTGGTACTAAGATGGTAGTGGTGTGTGTGTCGCGTATAACGTAACAAAAGACGGGAAGCAGCTGTCAGAATGGCCGGTCCAATGCTATCCACTGTTCTATCGCCATATTACTCACTTTTTATTAATCTAACATTAATTAGGAATAAGTACTTACTACATTTTGATATTAAATAAAAAGAATAAGTTGTAACTCAAACAATTCCAATTGAAAGTATTAATTGGGAATTAATTTAGTGTTTGTGTGTATTTTCTGGCTCTTTTGGTCCTAAATAAATGATACACCTCACAAAAGCGACTGGTTGTACGGAAAAGAGCATGAGATGTTAACCTTCCTAAAATTATACCAGTGACTAGACACCCCACTTTTTAAGGGCACCAGGTTTTCTTATAGAGTTATAGACCTGCTCCGAAGCCCTCATGCAAAGTCTGAGATAGAGGATGCTAGAAGTACTGTTTGTTTAACATTTTTCTGCAGGAAATTCTAAAGAATTCATTAAGTAAAGGAAATTGACTGGTGATCTAAAATACTAATTAGTTAATTGTGTTTGTTTCAGACGAGCCGTGCGCCGTTGTAAGCGACCCACAGCCCAGTAAGAGTAATTTTTGTCCGCGTAACCGGCGCCATACCAAGCAACCCGCCCGCATAGGATGGTAGAAACTGACCCCGGGCCCAAGAAATCTCACAGTAAGTACTAATCTAAGAATTCTTGAGGATTATGATAATGGGTAAATTCGGCTGGTATAGATAATAATTTGATGAATATAGGGCAAAATTATAACACTGTGTTTTAAAAACAGTTGAGATAGGCGGCTTTTGGCGCTGTTAATTTAGAAAAGGTTTGATACCTCTGAATTTATTTGTTATTTTAGAAACAAAACCTTCTTGCTTAGTTACCTAATTCTAAAAAAAACATTTGCATTCTGATTCTGATTCTTGATGGTTCTGATAGTTTATAATAGTTTGATATTTAAATTAAATGAAGCGTCATTTCAAAGACTGTTTCTTGTTTATTTTCCTTATGAAGTAAACTTAACAGGATTTAACTTCGTGGAACCAATTTTGCTTTAGTTAGCTTGGCTACTGGTGTTGATATATGATCAACCACAAGTAAATAAAAATTGTAAAGACGTCATACGTAGTGGAAGTTTTCTTAGAAAACGATGCATTTTACAAGTATATAAAAACTGCTTTAGATGTTTGTTTAAGACTGTGGGCAGATCCCGTGACTACATATAATATTTATCCAGTTATTTCTAAAGAACTGAATTCAACTTGATCAAACTATATTAGAATATTTAATTTAATTTTGTATAATAAACCAGTACCATAGTGCGAAGGCAAATGTTAAAACCGTCGAAATGTTATGTGATCAATTTTTTTAAATCGTTGCCCTAAAACAGTATTAATGTAAATATAAATACGTTTACAAACATACATGTCACACCCAGACTCGTAACAACAGTTTGTGTATAACACATAGTATTGTTCCGTGCGGGAATCGAACCAAAAGTTGCACAGCTGCCAGTTGCCCAGCTACTGCACCAACCGTGCAGGTTCAGGGTCATTTCACATTGAGAAGACTGCATACGTTAGAGACCTCCCTAAAGAAAATTTAAACATTCTACCACTCCAGCTACCGATCCCATTTAACATACCTACAATGACTTACAATTAGGAACATACATTGTGCAAATATAACTTGTTGACTACTTCAAAGTCTTCAAACAGATCTCTTATTGTAATCAAGCCATATGACATATGTCCATGTCCATGTCCATTTGTAACCTCAACCAAAGATTATGCACATTTCAAGGTAACTAAGAAATACTGAGCAAATATGTCTAACGTTAAGACGTTAATAAAAAACCTGCAAATTTTAATATTAAATAAATTGAGTTTGTCAAAAAATTGTTTACAACTTCCTATAAAATGAAAATAAAAGATAATGCCTTATCAATGCCATTATATTGTCCGGAAAGGTAATTTATTTTATAGCTAAAGCCTGTCTCTTAACTCTAACGTTCATCAAATTCGGCTCAGTAATTTCAGAGTTCATGTCAAAACATACGAATCGAAATCACTAGTAGATACACTGTCGTTTAATATATTATAAATTATAGAACTGAAAAGGTTTGTCCGGCTGATTGAAGTGTTTATATCGAACGATTAATGTTGCTAACTATACTGACGGACTCATTGTGTTCATGCCTGCACCAAATATTGTTAGCGAGACCTTGCCGAATGTCAGTACTTGTGCCGTACGAAGCAATATTCATGTGTCACTTAGCTTAGGTTATGTAGATATATAATGTGTATTGATATTTGTAATAACATACGTACTTCTCTTGACGACTGTTTTACCTTTCAATTTTTAACTTAATTTCGTAATAATTCGAGACACAATAGAAGACCAATAGGTGAATACAGTGGAAGACACATATCATATTCTGATGGAGTGTGTTCGGAATGAGGCCGAACGTCGGTCAATAATACCTACCTCAATAGATGTTGGCAAAAGCAACAGTATTCTTGCGTCACCTCTATCAAAGGATGCAAGAAACTTATATAAATTAGTTAAGATAGGTTTTAGATCGTAAGAATGATTTGTTTATACCGATGAGGGTGGCATAATCAGTTTGTGATTAAACCCTCTATAATAAAAATAAAGAAATAAAAAAACAATAGGTGCGCTCTCTAGGGGTTTGATCTTATTTAAGTTGACGACGAAAGACTAAGGTGTGTGGGATTCTAATCTCGCTGAAACAAAGATGGTCTCTATCGGCTCCCGTAAGGACCTCTGAATACACACGATACAATATTATCTATCCAAATGCAGTTTTGTTTAAAATTCACGTAAGAATCGAATTGTTTATAGTCATACAAATGCCATATTTATCCATAACAACTTAGTTAGATACTAAACAATATCTTACAGATCACGTAACACAGGACACGTGTATTGGAGAAAAAAGTCAATTACCTAGTGTTACGCTTATTACGACCTAACTATATATACATATATTGCTATAGTTTGCTTCGAACAAACTAAAATATTGACACTGCGGTTCTTGCGTCACGGTATTTTTATCAGAAGTAAAAATAACCGTGTGTCAAGCCAACCAGCCTTCTCAAAAGATTTTAGTAACATACGTTATAATATAGAGACTATAGGTAATGACGAAACTAGACTAATATTAGTATCACTAAAAACAGCGTATGATAACATCTTAATGTAACGTTGTATAGAATGTAAAGCCGACGTTTCATTGGTCATGATTAATGAGCCTATAGATGTTGAACATAAGGAAAAATTTAACTTGGGCTATGCTTTGCCATACGTACCTACAAAGTTCAGTTAGGGTTGCCTGACTTACGATTTCTCTCGCCCGGACCTGGCCGGGAGAAGTCATTCGAATATATTTCACGGTAAAGAAAAAATATAGGTTAAGGGTTTTTATTTTCGTTGTAAAGGGTTGTTATCTTAGTATTTAATATGTTTTATACGTAATCTGAATATTAATTGTTCCGTTTTTGTTGCAGATTGTGATGTAAAAAGGGACCTTCAACTAAACGGCCCAGGTTCCAAAGCCGCCGAGCTTGGTAAGTGTTATTTACTTTTTAAATTAAATTAAAATAAGTACTTAAAGTGGGAGTAAACAATAGGGAACACATTAAAAACCAACCATAGGACTAAAGGACAATTTTTTGTTTTCACTTATTGAACTTGATACCAGAAAGTCCAAGTGACTGGCTTTGAACTGCACAATCTGATCGAAGAGCTATAACAAAATAATAGTAAATCCTAACGCGGGGACGGATTGAATTTGATTCACACGGTGAAACACAACAATTTGGTTGTTTCACGCGGGGTTTTTTGTGAGCCGGGTCATTCGTACCGAAGCATGGCTCTCCCGCACATTTGGGATATAATAAACTGCAATGTTATAAGGCAATATGTGCTAGGTTGAAAGCCACGGCATTGGAGAAAGTCATTGGCTTTTAAAATAACCCTAGGCTAGCATTTGACAAAATATTTATTTTGATTCAGGCGTCGTACCTTCACTGAAGACACCAGTCAAGCTCGACCCCGAGAAGGGCTCCAACTCGGAAAAAGCTGACTTCGAGAGGGCTATCGAGTTAACCGGTAAGATTTTTGCTATGGGAAGAGGGCCCTGTCACGCATCACAATTTAAAAATATAAAATAGAGATATAGGTAATTTAAGCTAAGGTAGTCATAAGACGTGTTTATCTTATAATAACCGTTACTTAAATAAATTTCGTGGTTAGTAACCAAAAAATTGTTAATATCCATTTATCTATTGATGTACCTAACGGGTGATCATGATTAAGTATAAATAATAATTGGTTGATTACATTAGACTTTCACAAGTATTGATTACTTTCTTATTGTAAGTAGGTAGTATCTACAATCTTGTAGATTTTCTTTGGTCTGAATACGAAAAAAAATTCTCACTAAGCAGAATTGACATGTCTTCAATATTTACATAATTAGCATGTCGCGCCGGAAACGTACTCACAATACCTATGTCATAACTAAGATAGTTTGTTTATTGTGCTGACTAGTAACTACAAAAGAAGCGATACATCAAATACAAACTAAATCAAAAATACCGGAAAAGTATCAAATATCGTTTCAAATTAAACGATGTCATATAATTAACACTTATTTTGTAATTTGACACCGAGTTGCGACCTACTGTAACATAAAATCATAAATGCGCAATTATATACCTACCTATGTTGCATTGTTGACATACAATCTATACATATAATAAATCTGTAGAAAAGTAATTTTTGTACATTGAAAAAATTGACAAAAAAAATAGCCAGCGTGATAAAGGATAACTAACCGAACCCATTTTCGTATTTTTTGTCATTTTTGTCTGTTTGTCTGTTTGTCTGTTTGTCTGTTTGTCTGTTTGTCTGTTTGTCTGTTTATATGTTTGTTTGTGCGCGCATCACGTAAAATCTACGAATTCAATGCAGACAATGCTTATATACAAAAATTCTACACATCTTGAGGTATAACTTAGTTTTTGTTTCATCGAAATCGGTTCACTCTATCAGAAGATATGATTAATTTAGTGAGTTCAAGAAGTAAAATATTACAACACGCATTTCCGTATAGGTAGTACTTGCAACGATACCTTAAGACAAAAATAGAACGAATGTTGATAGTTTTTTGTTTTTTTTTTGTGAGGGGAAAATCATCAAATGACTTCTCCCGCCCAGGGCCGGGCAGGAGGGAGTGTCAGACTCTTACTGACTAAAAACCCCCCTGTTCCTTCTCCTGCTCTGTGCCGAGGTCGCGGTACCTCATTGCGCTTACCCCGCAACCCCGGCTGAACATCAGCCCTTTAGGGCCCCGTCTGTGATGGTCGAATGGCTCTTTGAGGCGCGCGCGGAACGCTACGCGCCTTACGCTCGGGCCTGGTTCTGGTCGGGCGGCGAGCTGCCCTTACTCGCCGACCGCAGGCCCGTGCTTACGGTGGCCGGAGATCGTCCCTCGATCCCCGACGCCCGTAGTGTCGCCAGTTGCGGCTGCTGGGGCGTGAGGAGGAGGATTGCTCCCTCACGCGGGCCGCCTCTCTCTTTGCGAGCATGACTGCTTCACAAAAGGAGGAGACGGCGTCCCAGTTCCTCTCACTCCGCACCATGGCCTCGACTAAGGCCGGGCGCGAGAGGTCGCCGCCGCCGATCACTTCCCTGAGGATACGGCGGTGCTCAGCCCAGGCAGGGCATACCGCTACCGTATGCTCCACCGTATCCTCTAGGTGGTCCTCACAATGACGACACTCGGGCGTTTCCTCCCGCTGAATCCGAAACAGGAACCTACCGAAGCTGCCGTGCCCGGTAAGCACCTGCGTCAGACGGAAGGTGAGGACGCCGTTGCGTCTCTCAAGCCACTCCTCAAAGAGGGGTCTTACCGCTGCTATGGTAGCGTGCCCGGCCCTCGGTTGCGACAGTCGTTGTTTCCACTCTGCCATGAGATCTCGCCGGAGCTCATACCGCCACGCACTAATTTGGCGCGGCAGAGGATCTTCGCCCCGGCGAACGAATGTTGATAGTTGATATCTTTATTCGATAGACACGTTGTGCAAATACGTCATTTTCTGTATAAGATTAATTATGACATTATTGCGAGGATTTTGCATTTGAAACTCAAAGTTTTGATTAATCTACTTACAAAGGAGAAAGTTTTCGGTTCAACTCTGTGTTTTATGTATAGCGTCGAGTGGCAAAAGCGTGGTTTACCCCATGCGCACTTTCTTTTGTGGCTGGAAGAAAAAATTCGTCCCGACGCTATAGACAGTGTCATAAGCGCAGAATTTCCAGACCATAGCGCAGATCCGATGTACATGACATAACCCGAGACAAACTACCTTGCTCGCATTTTTTCGCCTTTGCGAAAGAGACAATTTCGCCAAGTCTCTGTTGTACAATGAAGTGCCACAATACATTATTATACTTACAACAAGCAGCAAGGTGTTTTTAAACGCAGGAGACGTGGAACTGCTGTAGAAGGTGAGCCCGGCATTTTTAAACAACACTTGATTGGAAGAGTATACACGGTGCACCCAAATAATGCAGAGTGTTATTATTTACGCCTTCTTCTTCACATAGTGCGAGGGCCTACTTTTACTGATCTCCGCAAAGTGGACGATATAGAATATCCCTCATTTCAGGCTGCTTGCCGCGCACGGCCTTTGGTAGATGGCGATCAGCATTGGGATGATGCTTTAGCCGAAGCATGCGTCAGCGATAGTCCACATCGTCTTCGTCATTTGTTTGTTTTATTGACATTTTGTGGCCTATCGGACGCTGGGCAGTTGTGGCAAAAATATAAAGACGCGTTTGCCGAAGATTTTTTCAGACAGGAAAATAGTAATAGAGAAACTTCTGACCAATTACGGGAAAACTGCCATAATAGGTCTTTGCTAGCTATACAAGATATAGTTATAAGTATAGGAGGGAACCTTCTTAGTCAATACGGCTTGCCAACGCCTCAAAAAGGTTGTGAAGTAACTTTAGTCGAGAGCCTGTGTCGTTCTGTTGCTTCACAGCAAGAACTCATTTCTTCTGTATACGGAGATCCAACAGAGATCTCGAACCATGACGCTGCTTGGCTATGCCAACGAGCTACTTTGGCACCTCGCAATTACCAAGCAGCAGCAATCAATTCTCAAATATTGTTACATGTTTCTGGAGAAAGTAGGGAATATTCATCTATTAACACGGTTTTGGAAGAAGGAGATGCCACCCACTATCCAGTAGAGTTTTTAGACTCTCTAATGACACCAGGTGTTCCAGCACACAAAATTTATTTAAAAATTGGTACTCTACCAATCATTCTACTCAGAAATTTAAGTCCTCCAAAAGTTTGTAATGGTACACGGCTGAGAGAAATAAGTCTCTAATGCAATAAATGTGCAATTCCCTGTAAGGGTCAGTTACCCCATGACCATACTTTTGATTGTTTTTAACCCAAACAACCTTTTTGTATATGCTCCGGGTAATTCCACCGCTAAGATAGTATATAGGGAAGCATTAACGTAATCAGCTATACCAATATTACTAAATAAATATATACAACAGTCAGGATCTTAAATAGCAAAAAAAAATTCTTTCTTGAGTGGAGTTTATATGTGTATAGCCTACTGTTATCTAAACGATGTTGTTTTGTTTTCGACAACCACGCGAACAAAGTCGCGGGCACAGCTAGTTACGTAATAAAAACAATATGAAATAATATATGGCTTGGTTCGTAACTTGAACGAAGTTTTATGAATGAAATGTGTTCGGGTTTCATTCCTCGCAGTGGTACCTATCTGTGGGCCGACAGTGTAAACACCACGTTTACTAGGAACCGTATCGTACGATGGATGTGACTCCTGATTGAAACATGAGCACTTACACGAGCTTTAGCTAATGTTTTCAACTTGTTGTTATTGTCACTTCCTTACTTGTAAACAACAAAGGATAGGTAATTAGCTTCTGGTAATTAAGGTTTCGCGTATCACAATGGTACTATCTACCTACTTGAATACGCTTGGAATTTTTGATTTGATATAAAAAATACAGCGTTATTATTCGCTCGTGATTGGTTACATACTGTCACTTGACTAAAGAATCTCTTAAGGTTGTGTAATGTTATGTAAAACTATAAAATTATGCGTAACTTAAAGACATACAAACTATTGTTTTAACACAATCAATGTGTCGGAAACTGGCAACACTCGATCGTATCACTGATAGTGGAGTAGCAGAGCTAGGAAGTTACAAGTAACTATTTATGTTTGCGCAGGATATGGACGGTTCCACTACCTGCTCCTGGCAGTATGCGGCCTCGTCAGCACCTCAGAGGAGATGGACGTCATCTCGATGTCCTTCATCCTTCCATCGGCTCAGTGCGACCTAGACCTCACCACACAGACTAAAGTAAGTTTCTTTTACGATTTATTGTACGAAAACATATTAACACCTAGTCACAAGCTACTTGGTGAAAGTTTGTAGTAATAGACTAAGTAATATAAAACTACGTAAATGTCGTATAAAGATTAAAATTAAAAAAAAATGTTGCGCAGTCAAAATTGAAGAAAACAGTCACGTGGTAGGGGTTTTTATTTTACACTGCATTATATTTTGTTTGGTCATTGTACTTGCTAATTAGTATAGGTACTTAGTCTTAGGTTAGGTACTAAAACAATTTTATAATGTTTTATCCTTACAACCCACTTTAGGTAAACTTAAAAAACTCATTACATACAAGAGCAAAATTGAGTTTTGTGCCTTCCTTGATACTAAGTAGGTAAGTAAGTAAGTCTAAGAGATTTTTTTAAGTTAAATTGGCAATTATGCATATCCTCAACTAAAAAACTAGCTCGTAATTTCGTATCTATTTAAAATGTATTTATGTTTAAGGTATGAAATGCTCATATATCTACCTGTCCACCCATACATATTTGGTGGTGTAAGTTGGCCTCGCTATCAGTACCTAGGTATGATCATCCGCAGATGTAGATTTGAATGACGTATTTTTACATCAAGCAAAAAAGACGGGTGTAATTACCGAAATGAATTCAAGTGAAAAAGAAACTAATTAAAATGCACCACTTAATTTGACGGTTAGATTTTTTATTCTTACTTTCAAAACTCGGTGAAGTACCTGAATGGATGGAGTGGTGGAAGGGCGCAATGCTTAAATTGTATAGGTAAACACAAGTTCTCAATCCTCCTTATATTTGGTGGGGCTTCGTCCTGAGCTAAACCGGGTCGTTGGTTATTTAGCCAGTAACCGGAGCTCTCAGCTGTTAGGTACTCAAAGACCTTTGGTTGACTCTAAATTGACTTCCTCCTCATTCACAAAACTTTGGTGGGTACCTACACATACACCACGATGCTAACAGCGCCGTTGGAATTAACTGTTACAATTAACATCACTTGATGTTGTACTTAACTTTTGCAACCACGTGGAAGTACAATAATTAATACCTTAGTTCAAATCAAATAACAATGCAATGTTACATATTTCACGGGAATACCGCTTGTTATTTTCCAGATGTCATTTAAAGAATGAATCTGTTCATTTATAACGAGTGCCTCATCGGCTTTACTAGTTAGTTACCTAGGTACTTATTGGGGGGAAAACATGTTTACTCATGTTCTATTGAATGTTTCAATTCCCATCGTGATTTCGTTATAGAAGCCGAAGGTTGTTTTAACTTTGGTAATACTATAAATAATCTGAATAGCAAAAGCCTACCAAACTGCATCACAAGAAAAAACGGTTTCGAACACAGATAAGTTTCAATTTAGAATTAAGTTTGTATCAAATTTTGAGGAACACTTATAATAACATAACACATAAGTAACTATTCTTGTTTGCGAAACGCATAAACCATGAACAGAGACTTATGTCATTCAGTAACATGTAAATTTCGCACGGTGCGAATTATTTGCAAACAAACATAGCTACGTAGACACATTACAAGAGGTGTGTTCGCGTACATACCTATGACGGTCAATAATAAATTGTAAGTAATCAATTAGATGTCGGAAGATATTTCGAAACTATACGACATTACTGCGTTTCCTTCGTTGTTAGATCCTCAATTTTTTGACATTGAATTGAGGATTATGACGACCACTTAGAATAAAACGCCCATCACTGTTGTTCAAGGTTTTGTTCATTTTGTAGCTAGGCCTATGGTATGGTGAAGCCAATAACTTTACGATTCAAAACAATAAATGCATGTTTAGGTAACTTTTTAACGGACATTTTCAATCTTTGAAATACTAATGCAAGTACGCCGTACGGAAATAAATGTGTTAACTTAGAACTCGTCTCTCATACCTACTTACTCTTGACAACAGTTGTAAGGCCCAAATTAACTACGTACTCCAATAGAGCATAAACAATGATTGTTATTAATTTTATCTATTATTTGTTACAGGGATGGCTGAACAGTATAATCTTCATCGGTATGATGGTGGGTGCGTACGCGTGGGGCTCCGTGGCGGACTCCTTAGGCCGCAAACGTGTGCTCATCGCGATCTCCGTGGTCAACGCGCTCGCCATCGTCGCCTCTTCCTTCAGCCAGAACTACGAACTCTTCATGCTCTTCCGCTTTATCAATGGTGCCGCGTAAGTACAACATAGACAGTACAACTAAAAACTCACAATTGCTTACTAACGTTCAACGTAAGATTTCCCCTATTCACTATATCTGGGTAGACCTCGACAATTACAAATCGAATATTGACCTAGGCTCCACAAGTTGGTAGGCAATGTGTCAAAGTTATATATACCGATAGATATCACGGAATAGAAAATACAGGATAGATATATTTGGATATATTGGTTACTGACACTGGACGTAATGACAACCAATGTCAATCAGTAGGTATACCTACCTAAATAAAAAATACAAATAGGTACCTACTTAGGTACCTATCAACGCAACATGACATATTTTACTATCGTTTTTTTTTTTTTTGTAAAAGGAACATCATACAATTTTTCACTCACCCAAGGTTAGGCGAGAAAGAGTGTCAGACTCTTACTGACTAAGAACATCCCGGTCCTTCTCCTGCTCCAGGCCGAGGCCGACCTTCTTGCGCTTGCCCCGCAAACCCGCCTAATACTTATGTTTTTGTCGCTACGTTGTCACGTGATTTAAGTTGCTCTTGTCCAAATTACAAACCTTATTCAAGCTAAACAAGACGCAGTATAATTGTTTCACTGGGTCAATAGTATTCGAAACAAAGGCTGAAAATTACATAAGCACTGATTGAAAAGCGATGTAATCGAGTAGTGTTGAGTGAGAAATCTTGGCAAGAAAATAACTTTCATTCAAAAAAATTACTCAAAAAGCATAGGCAGGTACTTACCTATTATCTTACCGAATACTATCGGTATTTCTTTTTTTATTATTAATGAGAGCGATTGATTTCACTACGTTCCTACTTGGATTCTTATTTCAATTATAACACTAGCCGTATAGAAGTAAAATTGACGCTTGCATCAAGCAGGATATCTCGTAACGAAACGTAGTTATTAGTTGTACACGTAGGTACCTACCTCAGGATCTGAAATACATTTTCTGACGTCCTTGCAGAACGAACACCAACTTTTATTAAAGTTGTTATTATCGTTCTAACAGAAGTTGCTACCGAATTAAGTCCTTCATGATAACATGGCACAAATGACCTATGCTATCACACTCATTTTATTGTGCATGACTTATGGGAAGTGTACCTAATTTAACTAAGTTTCTTTGAACCAAACGCACATTCACCCGAGTATTGTAAAATTATTTAAATTTTAATATTGAATATTTTTGGCAACAGTTTAGGTGGATCTGGTCCTGTGATCTGGTCATACTTCGCGGAGTTCCAGCCGAAGAATAAGCGAGGTGCCATGTTGAGCTTCATGGCGGCTTTCTGGACTCTTGGCAATTTGTTCGTCGCTGGTTTAGCCTGGGTCATCATCCCTAGCGGTAATTATTTGTAATTCTACCTACTTGCTGAATTATCAGTGTTTTGATGTAGTTGACAATATTTACTTAGTAAGTTTACTAAACTTACTATTTCCAAAATTTCAGGAATTGGAGGAGTCACAAATGGTTTCGTGTACAACTCATGGCGTATCTTCTTGCTGGTAATGTCACTGCCTTCCTTCTTGGTAGCCGCATTACTTTTCCTGCTCCCCGAGTCTCCCAAGTTCTTGATTTCAAATGGCCGTCACGACGAAGCCTTAGAAGTATTCAAAGGCATTTACATGATGAACACCGGCCGGAGTAAGGAGGAGTACCCAGTCAAACAGTTGCTGGTCGAAGAGAACTACCATTCCAAACCAGAGAAACAGATTGAAGCCAATAAGGAGCCTAAGTCTAAGTTAAGGAAAATGTTCAGCGACATCGTGGAACACAGCAAACAGTTATTCGTGCCGCCTATACTCAAGTTTACTGCGATCTCTATCACTATTAACTTCACATTCCATATTGGGTGAGTAACTAATACCAAGCCAAATATTGTCTTGCTATTCCTTTTGTGTTCTTTATTTCAAGACCTTTTCAACATATCTACATAAATATTTATCTACAGGTACTACGGCCTCATGATGTGGTTCCCAGAGATGTTCAACCGCTTCGACGAATGGTCCAGGACGCATGACAACGCGGAGGCTGACATTTGCATGGTTACCGAGTATGTCACAAAATTCGGAACACATTCGACGGCAGCACAGTGCGACGCTCACATAAATTCAGATGTATTCATGGATTCGCTGATCACTGTAGCTGCTGCTATTCCATCTAATATATTTGCCGTACTTGGTATGGACCGACTTGGAAGGAAGTTCTTCCTTGGTAAGAACATTTTTATTACTTTTAGTAGTTGACTTCATTCCCTGCAATAAACACGTCTTAAACACGCTTATTCTATTTTTCAGTGTTCGCGACATTCTCGGCTGGGTTATGTTCAGCCGCTATGTACTTCGTGTACAATAAGACAAACAACTTAATTGTAAGCGCCATCTTCAGTTCGGTGATATCCTGCGGTAACGCGTCACTCGACTGTCTCATCACAGAAGTCTTCCCTACTAACTTGCGGTAAGATTTTAATGATTGTAAACTTTCTATAAATTCCCTACGGGTGCTAAGAATTCAGGGCTTCAGACAAAGAAATAGATTTTCACAGCATCACAGCAACAATGATAGGACAAACGAAAACTGTAGCCCTAATTGGAAACCACTTTTACAAAAGTAGGAAAGCAACCAGTACTAATAAATATGTTTGTTACAGTGCTACCGGTGTAGCGGTGTCGATGGTGGCGGCCCGGCTGGGTGGTATCATCGGCAACGTGGTGATCGCCGCGCTGCTGGACACGTACTGCCCGGCGCCCACCTTCATCGTGGCCGTGCTGCTGGCCAGCGGCGGCCTCATGTGCCTCTTCCTGCCCAACACCACGCGGCAGGCCCTCTCCTAACATCGCCATCGCTCTCACAGAATGCCACTACACTCAACTTTTTTCTTGCCGTACAAACTTGTAATGTCAATTTCGAAGAAGACTCAAATGGCATTTTGTTTGAGTAACTTTGGCCTGCCATGTGATATATAACATAATTTTAAGATATTAAGCATTAATCTCATCGAAAGATCCAATGATGTAACTAGTTTTTACATATTTGTACAATAGTTTTATATTAACTTAAAGAGTTTATTTATGAACTAAATAAAAGTACGAACGATACATATTTCTAGTAAATAAAGCAATTGACTGTTGTAGGTTGTTATAACTATATTACGTTATATATTTGTTTAAAATTGTTAAATCAGACTAAAAGTTTTGCATCAGATCTTTATTGGATAAAGTATTATAGGTTAAGATTCATTTCATTACCATGTTGTAATTATTGCAACAATTTTAATATTACGAATTTATAAATTACCATTGTTATAGTAGTTTGTAGTTGTGTAGTACGTAGTAAAATTATAAAACACGAGTTGTGATATAATAAAGTTTGTATCCAAACTGCATTGTATATAAGTGCATTTTTTCCAAACCATGAAACACCTTATTGATTACAATGCAATATATTTTCCTAAAATCATTTCAGTGCCTTAGTTTTATTTTAATAAGTAAGTGTCACCTGAAAAGGAATGAGTAAATCATCAAAGTAACTCTTTGCTGTTTTATTTCATATGTGTAAGGTACTGCATCTCCATTAATGACAAAATAACAACAAGCAGTTGATTAAAATTTATTTAATAAAACTACACAGAAGTTATTACTAAAGACTCCATTGTATAGTCTGATCTAGATTTTACATAGATCACTCAAACAAACCAATAAGTGCTTTTGACATTATGTTTAAAAATTACTTCAACAATATTGTACTTAATATTAACCCTACATTATTGATATAAGAAATGTATCCTGTTTAACTGACGGTCGACAGCCGCATTCACAAATCTCTCTTATACTTCAACTTTACTTGTCCACTGGTGAACATTATTCACGATAACTTAACAGCACTTCCATGTACAGGTCTGCGACAGCGCCACAATTACTCCAACCTCGCTACACATTATAAAAATAATATATAACTACTTTTTTTATATATTACACATACGATCCAACAAATATCATAATTCAATTTAAATTTACAATCGTAAATCCTTAACCTAAATATTGTATGCAGTATTGCATTATACTTAATTGTTTTATATGACAAGTCCAACCCAATCAGTTTCAGTTTCTTCAAATTTGCTTTCTATAAACTAGATATTTACACAATCATGTCTCTGTATGCGTTTCAAACGCTCACAATCATTCTCTGATAATAGCGGCACCATTTATATTATACTCATTCAAAATGTTCCACAACAGATAAAAAATATTCCTATTACATAAAATATAGATTTAAAACGCCAAGATCGAACAATGAAACAAGTTTAAATAATCTATTGCACTAGTAACATGACAAGTTATGAAATAGGCACAAATAAATAAAACTAAGAACATCAATGATAATAGCCACAACTTTAACTATGAGTGATGTTATGTTCGACTGGTTGCGAGGTATCACTATCATCTCTTCTCCTCCGTTTGTACTATAATATTTCTCAAATCTAACACAGTATTCATCACAATTTCATTGTTGTCAAAAATATATAATATCATAACTGATGTACTTAAATTCTCACGATTAAGTAAAAATATAATGTATTTTAAAACTACATATTTTAATAGCAACAAGATAGGATTATGTAGTTAATTAGGTTTGTGAATTTCACCTTGCACAACATGTATCAAACTAAATAAAAATCTTGCTAATCAGGCATACAAGAGTTTCAGATGGAAACGATACATTTACATTTCTTAATCATAGATTAGTGGAGATTTGGGAAATACTATTTACGAAAGAGAAAAGACGACGGCGTCCCTCTTAACTGTGGCGAGATAGTTCGCTAACCGACAACTGAATGGCCGGCTGTAAAGGGATCTCAGCTGACGCTTCTGAAATATCTGAGCCAGGCGTAAGCAGCCGACGAGTCCATTGACCGCCATCTTCAGTTTCCGACTCCCGAACATCAATGGAGGATGGAGATCCAACTGCTGAGTCTACTGATGAAACAGTTCTCTCTGCTATGTCGTCCGTCAGTATTGGCATGGATTTTCCAACAGATTCTTCTTCCGTTAGCAGTGGCATTGAAATAGGGCCACCCATAGGCACGTCTGTTTCTTCTGTAGTCACATAGGTCATTTCCGTATTAGGTGACGGTAACAAAGATACTCCAGACCCATAGTTGTTATTACTTAGAGGATCTGTCGTCTTTGCAGGTGCTATCCTAGGATCTGTCACAGTAATAGGTAATTCTAGTGAAGTCGGTACCGTCGGAGGGGTGACACCGATTACTGCCAGACCATCCTCTAAATTAGAAGCAATGGCAGGTTCACTGTCTACTTTAGTAGGTACCTCAACCGGAGTCATGATAGGTTGATTTAATGTCGTACTAGTCTCAGATACACGACAATGAACCGATACATTTGCATTCAAGTCACGAAAATCTGGTGCTTCGTCTCGTGTTGTATCCGCATGGAAAACATCACTATTAGCTAAAGCCGCCTCAAGGATGTCTCTCCGTTCAGGTTGCGTTGATAATACCGGTAAGGGTTCTGCGTGCATAGGAACTAGTTGATTATTATCTAGGACTAGAGGTCGGTTGTCAACAGGAGTCAAAGTGCCATTGTCTTCAATGCATAGATAGAACGAGCCCACAGGGCCGCCAAAGTGTTCCCCTGGTACTGCCAGCAGTTGACTGTCGCCCAGGCCAGCAGGAGGAGCGGCGGGTGGTTCCGGCTGGGTCACTGTGCTGACTGGTTCTGGCTGTTGTTGTTGTTGTTGTTGTCGGACGATGGCGGTAGACGGTAGAAGTTCTTCGAAGTTATCAAATTCAGAATAAGTATTTGAAGTGCCAATAGATACTGTGTTAGATACAGATGGCACAATGGATGCATTATTGTTGCTCAGAGGAGTCAAAGCAGGGGGCATAGTTGACATAGTCGCGGGTGCAGGGGCTATAGCAATTTCTTGTTGCTTCATTTTCTTAGCCGGCATTGGCGATTCGGATATCGTCTTACGTACCCTCTGTTTATGCACTGTAGGCGCACCTGTCTCGTTTGGAGAAATTGTTATCGTTTTTTGGACAACCACTTTATTTTCCTGTATAGGTGTAGTAGTTTTCTGTACAATTTGGCCAGTCCTTTGCAAATGTTCAAATTGTGCTGCTGTTAGTTGCATAACTGCACCAGATTTTTGTTGTAAGAATATTAAAGGTTCTGAAGAAGACTTTTGAATTGTTTGAACTAGCTTTTTGGGTTCCGATGCGATTATTCGCTTGGGTACAGGTCTTATTTCCGGCATGGGCGCTATGTTTTGAGTAGTAGTAGCGACTCTTCCACCGACAATCAATTGGCCCTTTGATGTAATTATTGCACTTTTTTGTTTCGGCACAATCCTGGTCTGAGTCTTTACAGGTGCGACATTTTGAGTTTTCGTCGATGTTATTGTCGTAACAAGGGTTTTCTGTGCAGCACCCGGCGTCGTTGAGATCCTATGAGCTATAGTTTTCAATTGAGATACATTAGGTTGTTGTTTCTTTGGAAATAGCATCTTCTCGTGTTCAGGAGTCAGGACAATTCTAGACTGCGCACCTTGAGCGTTAGTTATGATCATTACTGTATTTCCAGGACTACTGGTGTCCGTCGAAGACGGAATTAATTTCGCCGAAACTGGTTTGTTCTCCGTAGCAGTTATTTGGGGTTCCGATCCCTTTGCTACAAGCACGTGAGCTTTGCCAGTTTGGGGATCTATGACAATCTTTTGTGTCCTGCCAGGGCGTGGCGAGTTTGGAGTAGGTAAAATTATGAATTTCTCAGCCTTGCCTGTATTCTGCTGAACCGACTGTATAAGGGTTGGTGCTTGTTTCACTTCTTTGATACTAGTCTCACCTTTCGTCATTATAATTTTCTGCTTCCCTGTTGTTTTATCAATTACTAACATAGGTTTCGCCCCTCGTAATTTGGAAGATTTAGAGAGAATATTCGGAGTGCTAACTTTGTTACCATCACTGATAGGGTTCATTAACAATGTTTTCATTTCTGGCTTATTGGGTGTTGCACTTATCGCAATTTTTTCACTTTCTATTACTTGTTTAGTCTTAACAAGTTTTGGCGGATTTGGTGTGTGGGTTATAATGTTGCCGTCAGACATTACGATAGGCATTTTTTCGATACTTTCGGGAGTTAACAGATCTTCGGATAAAACTATAGGCATTGAGTTAATATCAAACATGGTATCGTCAGGGGCTGCATCGTTAATTATCTTTGACGTTTCATTTAGAGAGGGTATCAGTGAATTTGCGGGTTTAATCTTCTGTATTTTTGCAGGTGGTTTCGCTATTTTTCTTATCTTTTGTTGTATTATAATAGTGTTAGCATCGGCTGGCGGCTCTGCGGACGTCTGAATAGTATAAGTTTGGACAGAACCGTCCTGCGCTGCGTTATTACTACGTGATAGAATAATTTTATCTGGCGTTGTTATTTCAGACATATTGTTTATTAAATTTTTGTTTGGAGTCGTCCTTCTAATAATTATTTTCTGTTTAGGAGAATCAGTTTTACTTTTGAACGACGTTTTTGCTACGTCAAAGTTTAAAATTTTCTCTTTGCCTGTAATAATGGTTGTCTTAGTAGGCAAAGGTTTATTGGTATTAAACTTAGGAGTACTTGGCTCCTCTAGAATTTTTAATAACCGTGACGATGAAGTTTCTATTTTAGTACTTTTACCATTTGTATTTTCATTGTTGCTATCTTTAGATTTGTGAGTTAACTTTTGTTCTACAGTATTGTGCATGCTATCCAAGCCATTATTTTGTTTAACACTGAACACCCCCTTCTCTGTTACTTCCTTATTATTATTTACACTACTAGATAAGTTATGATCCATATTTATTTTATGGTCAATTGTTTCTGACATTTGGACAAGTGATTGAGCAGCATTTAAGTTTTCACTTTTTTCTTGTTCTGTTTCAAATCGCATAATATTTTCGTTATTAGAAATTAATAGAGATTTCTGTTGATGAAGTATTGGCTCAGGTTCTACAATCGTTTCGTTAGGTTTGTCCTCCACGACCATTCCCTCAGGAGCAACATCTTCTTGCATGATCTCATCTAGAATTGGTTTTTCTACCTGTACATTGCTAGTTGTTTTATTTTGAATGGATGGTAAATTAATAAGAGTTTCAGCTATTTGTAGGTCAGATTCAGATGGAATATTTTCGACAATGTTGCCCGCACTGTCAGTAATATCAGTATTCATTGCAGTCTCTGTTTGGTCATTGATATCATTTAGAGATGCTACATTACTTCTCTCAGTCAAATCCACATTATCTTCTGTACCTGCAGAATTATCTTGAATTGTTTTTAATTCATTATTTAACAAATTACTATTATCTGAAACCGATTTATCTGGTTCTGCATACTTCACAGCACAGCCATTGTTATCTAAAAGACTTTCATTGAAATTGTGATCTTGGCTAGCTCCGCTGTTATCCTTATTATCATCTTCGAACAGATCTTCTGGCGGATCATCGCTGATAACCCTCGTGACTCTGTCAGCTTCTCTAGAAACACTCAATAAAGCGTCAACTGCTGATGCTGTAGATTCATTCATATAAGGCTGATAGGGTTTTTGATCACTTCTCACTGGGTATTTGACCTCAGGTGATGAAGTTTTTACTTCGCTAATAAGCCCTTGATCTAATTCTTTGTCTTTAACTTCTTTCATATTGTAATCTTCATCTGTAATTTTATCAAGTACTTCTTCTTCTGTCACTGTAACCTCAATGTTTTCGGATTTCATAGCAATGTCTGTATTGTGAGATTTGTCAAGTGTTATTCCGTCACTATTATCTTTATCTGTTTCTTGTTCCATTTCTATTACAATCCTAGTACCTTCATTTATTGACGGTGTTTCAACTTTATGATCATCAAAATCTTCAGAGTAACTTGTGGTTTGTGCTATTTCAATTTTATTTGATGCCTGATTCAGAATTCTATCTTCAATACTTTCGAATTTGCTTATCCTGTCATCATTATCTTGTGTTTTATTAGTATTTGTTAATTCTGTAATTTCAGTCCTGTGTATTTTATCGTCTGTCAAATCTGTTCGGTTTATAGAAGTTTTAGTAATAGATTCAGGTATATCCATATTAACAGGTTTAATTTCCTGTGTGGGATACAGGACATCATGCAGTTGTATATTTCCTTTTTCTGTCATAGGAGGTGACTTAATAGATTGTGGGCTGGTTTTACTGGGTACAGCCATGTCAGTGAATTGTCTGAAATCTGAAATGTCCCCAAAATTCTCAAAGTTACTTTTTTCTTTTTCACGAAGCTCGGCTTTCATTTTCTTAAGTTGTATTTTAGGCGCCAAACGAGCAACTTTCACGTGTTCAATTGGTGGAGATTCTCTAGCCTCAGGCGATGATACAACTTCTGATCCATTTATTTCATTTTCAGATATATCCATCCTTTCAACTGCATTAGCATTTAATTGTTCTGCGACATATTTTCCAATTGCATCTTGGCTTCTAGAATGCCTGCTTCGAAAAAATGTTTTCGTTTTAAAAATTGCTTTAGTAGGGGGCGTTTCAACAGGGGGCTTTTCAGTTTTTTCAGGCGAGTTCTCTTGTTTGTCCGGAGATTTTACGATGGAGGGCTCAGGAAAATTTTCCTCGACCTTTAAGGGTTCGGGAGCCGACGGTAATTCAGGAACAGTAGTCTTATTAAGTAATTCTGCTACTTCTCTAGCCATTTCATCGTCGTCTAAACTGACGCTCTTTGAATCGTCCTTACGTTTCGGATTCTTGACTCTGGGTATTTTACGACCTCCATCCACTTCCAGCGGCCAGTCTTCATCTTCACAAAACTCGTATTTAGAATCACTTGAGGGTTCTGGTTTATCACTCGAGGGCGAACTATTTAATTTCTTTTCAGTAGGTGATGACAGTTCAGGAATTAACGGGACACTAGATAGTTCTGCCGATGTTGGCACTGCTGGTGATTCCGTGGCTTCTGGCACTTCAGGTGATTCAGCCATAACAGTAGTGGATTCGTCATTAGATTCTTCATCTCCATCGTCCCAGTCAGCCAGAAGACTGCTTTTAATTTCTTCATCAGTTTTTACCTTTTTAGTTTCAACATTATTTGTTTCTGCATCTGCCGTTCGTTTTTTAGTAGCACTTGGTGGTGTCTTTTTAGGTTCTTTTTCTTTAATGATTTTCTCTTTTCGTGGTTTACGAGCCTTTGGTGTTTTGCTTATTTCTGGTGTTGATTTGCTTGAAGATTTTATGGGTAGTTTTTTTCTTACCGGAGATGGTGTGTAAGGTGTAAACGAAACACTGTGTGTTTTACTGTGTAAAATTAAAACATTTAGACGTACTGTTGTGAATGGACATGCATGGCAGGAGTATATTCCAGAGCTTGATGCACTTGGGGTAGATGCAGCTGATGTCGAAGCAGTAGGAGTTGAACATGATGGTACTGGTTCTTCTACTTTCTCTTTTTCTTCTTCCTCCCTTTCTTCACTACCTAACCGAGTGTCATCTTTATTATCTGATACTGGTTCAGCACTAGTGGAGGGTATAGGTTCAGTAGTTTCTGTAGAAGGAGTATCAGAACTTGGTTTTGAGCGTTGTACCAATATGTGTACTTTATAATCGGCTTTTTCTTTACCCTGAAACAAATAAGTACAGTATTAATATAGCAGCAAAATACTACAGGATCTTCAATGCTCAACGGTGTCATTATAACATTATCCATTCCTTAAGTCTAAGTATTGAATTCTTTAAGTGATTGTTTTTAATACAAATAGATACCTTTCTAAAAGGTGTTGAAATCCTTGATGGTTCTGCAGATCTTCCTCGACCACCCCTGCCTGGAAACAAAAATACTATCATTAGACAAACTAAATTTATTAGAAATAATGACTAAATCATGTGTACAGAGAAAATCATTACTAATATTCAATCAATGACAACTAATCTTTCAAATTGTTAAGCCACAAAAATTTGTCTTAGATAATATTTTCACAAAAACTTGCCTTTTTTACCAGAGCCAGGTGTTTTCTTCTGAGGGTCACCAAATATACCTGCATAGCTTTCTTTTTTCTTTTCTTGGAACTCATCTCTTGTTAGAATTTCTATATCACCTCCAACTGCAGTCTCAGCTCGGATAACATCTTCTGGAAATTTCTCCATGTGCCCGCGTTTGGTTCTAAACATATCTGAAGACAATAAAGATTATTTTAGTAATTTGAATTTGGAATCTAAACAGCAAAAATCACGAAAAAAATATAATATTAGAAATACTTACACAGGCCTTTGTTGATGAATTCATTTTTACGACTGCATTCATATTTGAAAATTGAACTGGCATTTTTTACATATTCACTGAAAACAGGAGAAAAAAATATTTATATAAATTTACAAAAAATTTGGTGAAACAGTTTAGAATCTAATAATCTGGAATAATCCAGACCTAGTAACACCATGTAGTTTTGGTTTTAATACAGGATTTGCTGTTTGGTTCATTTAAAAGTTACTGCAACACCAAAACTATGAAAGTAAACCCTATAATGTTACAACACCAAGAAAGACTCTTTGTATTAAATCTAATCTCATAAATATTATTCCATATTATGGTGTCCCTAGGCTATATTGGTGTTTTTTTTCGATAATGTTATACTTACCACACTCCCATCTCTATCAAATAATTTGGTATGCCAACATAATTACCACATTGCCCATGATTCTAATCAGACTTTTGGTTGCCTACTATAATAGCACAAACAGATATACAGTCTCAATAACCTTTTTAGCAGTGGAATTGGCTGCTAAGATAGCATTTGGACATGGTCATGATAAACATGGTATTTTTTTTTCTTTCAGGTACTCCTGCAAAGTCATGAAATGAGCCGCAAGCAAGCTTTAATGTTCATATTCAGTGTAATGTATTCATTTGCAAAATTACACCATTTATCATCAACATTATACTTTTTCCTGAATATTAAAGTTTCAGCGAGTATGGCATGAAACCACAATTCAAACAAAACACTTTTTTTATTACAAAAAATACCATTTTCCCTTTTACTTTTGTTTTATTTTTATAGATGAATTTATAACAGTTAGTTTTGGATGCAAAAATTAACTGGCAGTGAAATGAGTTTTATTAAAATAATAATGTATAATATGAGCACAATACAATATATTCATGTTGTATATTATTACAAACCTTGCACATACTGCAATAATGTACCAATCAGGGAAATCAATATCTGGATTTTCCCAATTAAATAGTTTAAATTATATTTTTCATACCCAGTTTATTAGTATCAAAACATTGGTTGCTTGGCTTATCATAATATTCTAATTAATAATGTGTTCAGACACAAAATTCTCATGGGATAGAACATTATGAAATCACAAATAAAGAACATCTAAATAATGACCTTCCAGAAAGCCTAGAAGGCGCCCTAGCTACCATAATTATGCACATATCATCATCATAGCAAATTGAACAAAGAAACTACAGTTTTGGTTACACTATACAGAAATCTTGAACCAATATTCTGTTACGTTATAATGTTCCAGGTTATATTTGCAAACTTACTATGTATCCTCCTGGAAGAACTTGACAACGGCTATTGGTGGCTTCCGAAATGATGGCAGGACATCTGGTGGCAGCTTCTCAGGACCGACCACCTCGCCTGGCCACCAGCAGGAGCCAAGCTTAACCCATACCACCTCTCCATCCAAATAACTAACATCAGTATTTTCACACATCACCACTTATTATGTTCAGACAGAACGCACGACCATATTTTGTCAAGTAGACACTGAATGCCGAGTGCAACAGTTTTTATAACATTTTCTTTAAAACAACTCATACATCAAACTTTAATCACTGTATAAATCGACCGTAACTTTTACAAAAAGAAAATGTAAGAATTTGTCTTTTATTTGTCAAAACAGTAGCAAAATATTAGTTGTAAATATCACCGACTGCGTACGAAATTATTTTACTTCGTACGTATGTTGGTAGCATTGATAGAAAGAAAATATGCAATTATAAACAAATACATCGATAAGTACCATGAAAGCAATTTATTATCGTACAATATTATTTTTTATTACAAAAAATATTTATTCTTTTGAAATTGTATGTAATTTTATATAAAAAGAATTAAAACGAAGTGACCGGAAATGTATAAAATGGTCAGCGTCAGCAGTTACCAACACTACCATTTAAAAATTAGAGTTGCCAGTGTTATGACAATAGACAATTTTTCTTTGTAGTTTCTTTTTTTAACATTGTCTTTGCTTTATCGCCAAAGAATAAAGTAATAAAGGGGGTAATCTACTATCAAAGTGTTATTTAGTTAAGTAAGAAATATTTTTTTCTATGTAAACTATTAGTCTATTAACTAACTAAGTATGTTTTTATAATAACTATCGTGATATTATATTATTATATATTAGTCTATTGTAAACCATTACAGTCGATTGTGATATCTGCTCAGGAAAAGACAAATATGAGTTTTTGCATTCCATGATTCCATGTTTTTTATCATCATCATCGAAGAATTAATCGAGCGTTCAAATGACATTTTTGTAACATACTAGTGTACAGTAGGAAATAACACCCACTTTATAACAGACAGATATAATACGGGGTTGATGCTGACAATAATACGAATTGATTCCATGTTACTTTCATTTTTGAAGATGTGTCTTGTTTTTATGAATTAAACACCTACCTATATCTTGTTCCTTACATTATAAATATAAAAAACACATTCTCTTTTTCACATTTTTTTATTTAGAAACATAATTTACATAACAAATATGACTTATAATTTAGGTGGATTAGGAAAATTACAACTTCAGCACCACATAATCTTATTTTGGGCACTAAACTTAGCTACAAAATACATAGGTAGTGATGAAACCAAAGTACTAAAATGACGACTTACTACTAGAAATGTGATGATGAAAAATATCCAAAATAATTACTATCATTTACTGCAATTCGTAGTAGTTAATTACTGGTGTTAAAATTAATAAATAATAGCAATTTAGAACTACAGTTTTGGTCATTTGGGTACAATATTTAATTTTTGGAGTAAGATTTTTTTTAAACTTGTCTACCGTATAACCAATCAAAATCTCATTGAATGATGTTTGTGAAACACATATCATAAAGAGTTTTGGACTATCCTGCGTATTGGCGAACTATTTTCGCCCACTGCTGCGGGTAATTTCTTTGCACATACGATAGAGTGCGCTGTATTTGCTTGGTTTCTTGTGGCGTACATTGAGGACAAGCTCCTCGAAGCACCAAAGGCGCGAGGGCTGAAAAACAAAATACAAAAAGTATTATTAAAACGAAATTACTGATTAATAAAATTTATTAACGGATAACTTATTTCCTTGATTTGTCATGGTTTACTAATTCAAGTAGGTTCCCAGGTCCTACCGGACTATGGGCTTCTTTTATATGAAATATTTCCATAATCGATACTTAGGTATGACTTAGTAAAGTTTTAAAGCGCAGTTTTATCAACTGCTCGGCTTCTATTGATTGAAGCGTAATGGTTTATAGCCCGTTATAGCAGTAAGGGCCACTGACACGCCGGGCGAAAATAATGTGATGCCCACTTGAGGAAAGCAATATCAAGACAAGTGTTAGTTTTTAGGTATATATACCTATAGAAGGTTCAGTTATTCCCACCATCTACCACGTGTCACGCGTATCGGTTTGGCGTAGGAAGTAGATACCAATCATAAGCGTAAGCACCGTGTGGTCGAGGAGCGACTCTTACGTTATCTTTACAAACCCTCAAAAATCCATCTAAAAAAATATGCACATGCACAGACCGTAGAGCACAGTTCTGAGGGTTTGCAGGAGAGGCAAAGAGACTTCAACTTTAGACCTTGGCGCCCGTCAGATTTTGTCACCCTGGGCCATCGCCCCATCACGCCCCTAAAGCCGGCACTGCGCAATAGCCTTCCTCGATGAATAGACAATATTACACAAAAATAATTGTTCATATTGAATCAGAGGTTCCGGGGCAGTGGAATGGTTATAAACTGATGATTTGTGGTGTGCTGCCATTATCTTCATGGCTTTGCTAATCGTTTTGCATTGCAGGTTGGTATTGCTCGGTATTTATCCGATGTGAAGTGGGAAGTAGTGGTAAAAAAGTATTCTACTTTGCCCACATGATTTGAAATGATTATAACCTATGACAAAAGTATTAAAAATCAACATACTTTTTAGTCGTTTTCCTATGGGGTCACAGGGTCCTTCGCCCAACGCGCACTTAAGCTGTCGCTGAATAAAACGCTTGTCTTGTAGGGCATCATCAAGCGCTGTGTCGGAGACTGGAGGCCTTTGCGACTGCGCAACCGATACCGCAGCCACACAACATAACACCAACGCGTACTTAATCTGGAAAAAGTGAAAGAATTCTATTTAAAAATAAATAATGAAATGGGTCAATAAAATGTTAGTGCTTTTTATGTCCTATACGAGTCTTAATAATATTTAATTATCTATAAGTGCTGTAATTTTTTCATAAGTGTGGCTTTAGATCCGGTTTTTTAGAATTGTTCAATCGACTCCTCGATCATGACCGAAGGCGACACCACGTTCTTTTTATTCTGTGTACACAAATCCATTATTCATAGACTGTGCTACGAATTGTTGCAAAATTTAAGAAATTTACGTGCTTAGAAATTAGACTTTTGTCTGGTAACCTTGAAGTTTTCAGTGAAGTATCTACTAGGTATCTAGTACTATATTTTTTATACATTAATATTTCGGAGTATATAGAAAAAAATATTACAAAAATACAAGAATCTTTAGATTTAATATTTGATATACCAAACTAAACTGTTTGCACTCGTTTTAATAACTTCATTAAGTATATTGTTATCAATGTACAATACATAGGTACATTAGGGCAAAGTATTAATGTTGTTGGTACATACGTACAAAACCCGATTTCATATATCGATAAAACAGGATTGTATATCAATAGAATAAGAAGAAATTGTAAGAATTAATGAATATCAGCCGCTATACTATAATACTGAATACATGTAGATTTTAGTATAGTTTATAATATTATACGAATGAGAGGCAATATATTGTATAGACACAGTCGCGCCAAATTATTTATAAGATTGAACAAAGAGAGGGGTCATAAAGACATAAGGACAAAGCTATTTATTTAATATATTTGTAGACCGCCCGGATACTTAAATAGGTAGGGGTCTACCTGAGTACCTACTTCTTACTAGAAAGAGTGCTTAAAATATTTTTTAGAAAGTCGACGCCTAAATGGAGGCGACAATATAGGTTCCGAATGACAATGTTTTTTTGGTACAAGGATATAATTAATATGTGACCGATAGATAGATAAGGCATAGCCTCTTTAAGTATATTAATAAAGGTCTTTGCATAGCATAGATAAGGCACGAAAACTAAGGCGTCTGCCCGGTGCTTGGATTGACGGTGAGCGCAATGAGGTATCGCGGCCTCGGCCTAGAGAAGGAGGCTAGAGAAGGAACGTTGTCAGTAAGAGTCTGACACTCACTCTCGCCACAACCGGAAGAAGTAGCCATTGATGATTTTGATGATTTTCCCGTAACAAAGAAAAGGCGTGTATCCAGTGACTTCATGGTGGCACAGTGGCCACTTGTCGCTGTGCTTTTTGATGATATATCGTAACAAGCGTCCAACTGTACGTATCCGATATTGGTCTATTCAGAAGACCCGGTCTTCCTTACATATGCTGCCTTACCTATGATGGCTACCGTGGAAGTTTAAGAGAGTCAACCTTAGTCTTTTCCCAACAAAAAACCAGGTGCTTATGCATTTATTGGAAGTCTGCACCCCATCATAAAAAAAAAGAATTTAGCTGATTTGTATACTTAGGAATTGGGTAGGTGCTATCGATGTTGATTTTTTTTCTACAGCGTAAGGATATATTAATTCTCATTTAGCACCTTGGCAGTTCCATATTTATACCGAGCCAGGTCAAAACTGCTGTTGTAATTAAGGAATAGGGAAACTACAAAACAATAGGATTGGACAACCACACAATATAAATACTACACGTACCTACCTATAAATAAATAGTATGTACTGACTCAACACATCGATGACCGAAGCATCGATCATTTTGATTGCAAATTCATTAGATTTCCGAGCACGTGCGCATCGATAGCACGATAGTGTCACTTTAAAGTAACAACCTCAGAAACAGCTGTGCTATGCTTGATGCGGCACCGACACTCATTTTAATAGCAACACATTAAACAAATTCCTTCCAGTTTAGCCATAAAATAAAATGCTACGTTTATTATATCCGCATTCTTTCTTTGGAGTAGTAACTTGATGGAGACGACTCGAACCCATTTTAATCTCCTTATCAATACGATGTCTTGTACAAATACTTTTATGCTCTGCGGGGTACAGTCAATATACTCGTAGATAGCGTTATGATGACAGGTTTACCAAAGGATTATCTGTAATAGTTGCTATAATTGCTATAAATTTCTTTAGCAAATCCGCCATCACCGTTTTTGGATTCTGCAGATAAACTTCATTAGGTAGGTGGATGCTAAACTGGCTTTAAAGTCAAAGTCAAATCAATTATTCCAAATAAACCAGTATACGCACTTTTCAAGATCAAACCAAAAATATATGAAAAATCTTAACCAATATTACAGAAAAAATTTTAGCTTTAATTCTGTTAGGAAAGAAATGTTTTTTTTTACATGCGGTATGCAGCAACGTCCAATAATAAAATTCTTACATAGTAGAGAAAAAAGAAAAACCGGCCAAGTGCGAGTCGGGCTCGCGCACAAAGGGTTCCGTAGCAGCAAATATAATAAACTTATTATGTCAATTTATACACCTGGTGAATGGAGCCTAAACTCTCCCGATATTTTGCCTTGTACTTTTATGTATGAATATTAATAATAAGCTAATATTTCTCGTAAAAAGTACCTACATTATAAAGATTTTATATCATCGCGGATTTTTAAAGGTGTACAATACTGTAGTATATTTTTTGATCTATCTTATAAGGTTCAGCCATCGTTTTCAGTGTAAGCACAATAACTTAACCAAAATTACAGTTAAATCAACCTATCTCAAAAACTATAAGAGATAATTTGATCAAACCAAAAATCGTTGAAAGAGTTAATTAGCATGCATCACCTCTATTTTTTTTAGAATTTTATACCCCGTAGTTATAAAAATAGAGGGGGGGGGACATACTTTTTACGACTTTGAGAGCTGATATCTCAAAAACCGTTCACTTTAAGAAAAATGTTTTTTAGAAAACTTTATATCATTTTAAAAGACCTTTCCATTGATACCCCAAACGGGTATGTACATCGAAAAAAAAATTTTCATCCCTCAGTTACATGTATGGGGGGCCCCACCCCCAATTCTTTTTTTTACTATTTAGTGTCATAATTTTGTAGCGGTTCATACAACACATATTCCCATCAAATTTCATCACTGTAGTACTTATAGTTTCCGAGTAAATCGGCTGTGACAGACGGACAGACGGACAGACGGACAGACGGACATGACGAAACTATAAGGGTTCCGTTTTTGCCATTTTGGCTACGGAACCCTAAAAACTGGGATTATCAGTTTAATTTTTTATTATTATTTTTTATACAAAACGAATAGTATCGTATGTATTTGAATACACCTAATTACTTAACTAAATGAGCGCAGATAACTTATGCAGAACAAAACGTCCTCGAATGAATTGCGTTTGTTTGTTATAACGATTAAAAGTTAATAACGTGTCAGTGAAATAAAGCCTTCAATATGATTTACACAGTATTTAAAATGTGAACCCGGAAATACATCACTTTATATTACAAATCTGGTTTTTAAAGGTGAATGAACTTGCGACCTTTTTGCAGAAAGTATTTCTTTGGAGATCATTCAGTAGGTACCTGCATTTCCTTTGTCCAAATATGAATAAAAAATTCGAATAAAAAGCTTTTCTAGTAAACCTTTATGTTTAAATACAGCAGGTACTCAGAAACATTTTGTTTCTTCTGTTAATTCTTTTCAAAGATAGGTCGACCTAGTCCGATACTTTTGTCAGCACCACAATGGAGTTAGAATTCTTTGCCAGAATCAGTTTACCGTTATTTAAAATTTTGTTGTTGTTGTTTATAATTTGTTGATTGAGCAGGCGTGCCCCGTCGTAGATCGTAGGCTGCATTATTGCTAACCACCAGACTCATAAATGACCAAACGCCCATTGCAAATAATGAATTTATCTGATTTACGAGACTCCTTGTCAAACTTATTTCCAAACAAATCCGGAGAGATCTGGACCTGGTCTACATTTTTGCTAAGGTAGTTCTATTTACTGATTGCGCGATCTCCAAAGAGATCTCTCGTATGGGATCTGGAGGCGGAGGCTCGTTCGCACGTCTTTAGTTTGGGCGCTGAGGCGATACTCCGCTGCCACGCTAGTTTAGTACGTGGTGGAATGAGTACCAGCGTGATCTTAAGATCGCAATGACTGTCTCAACTGAGGGCAAATGCAGTTATCGCAGCGATACTTGAACCCAAGCACAGATGCTTGAGCTGAGCACCAAATGGTAGCTATACACGGCGGTGACCTCTCACAAATATAGCTGTGTATGTATTGAATAGTCTCTGCCAATATAGTTCTAAATGCGTGAAGAGACATCGATCCTGACAACTGGGGCCAGCCATTCGGAAGCCTACGCTGGACACTCCTCGAGCGTGTGCTGTGTAATCCACACAGCCAGGTCACTTCATCAGTGGCAATTTACCGTGAATAGAGTCAGGACAGCCTATCCTAACTCCACACTAATCATATTATCTGTCGTTCTTCTTTACGCCTAAACCTCGAAACCAATGAACTAATTTGAATGAAATTTAGTCCTCTAGTAAGATAGATTACAATATTCATTTGTAGAAAAATTAGGAACTTTTACAGTTTACACTGAACCAATTTAACTTAAATAGGTACTTTTCTTGAACCAGTTCAAAAAAAAATAAAGACCCATTCATAAAATATTCGCAGAGTGAAATACTTGCATATTAGCAAGAGCAACTAAACTTAAACATTTTAACTTATGTTAACTGTTACCTTAGTAGGTAATTTAGAACAGCAATTACCTGTATGTACAATGTACATACCTACTTATATGTTATACCTAAGTTATGCAACATTTATTTCATTTGGTATCTACACTTTACCTAAGCAAAACATTTGCGGTATTTTTTGTAGCGCAAACGTTTTTATTTTAATTTACTTTTTAATCATAAATCATTTAGTTAGGTACGTTAGTTTAATCTTGAAATTCTTGAAAATGCCTTTTTCATTTACATGCATACATTCATAGAATATTTGAATATTGTTTGTGGTACCTATCTGTCACATAATTTACACGATATTTATGTATGATTACAACTAAGTACTTCAATTTTGTTTTATTTAGGTTGTAATTGCTTCAATAATCTATTAGATAACATTGGCGTTACGTAGGTAGATTTAGGTAACTTTTAGTTAACGATTTATTGGTTTTTATCCCGTGATATGCCGGGAGCGCAGATCCACGCGAGACACAATGTGTTTTCTAACGTTTGTCATATACCTACCGTCAGACCAGAGAATATTTTTCAACGAATTTCAGTCTGTTTGTAGCCAAAAATTCGTTGTTTCTTCAACATTTATTTAGGCCAAACTGCAAGACAAAAGAGTATTGAACTGTTCGCTAGCAAAGATGACGTATGCTGGTGAAACTTTGACGTGTACGTACTTACAATAAGAATGGACATATTTCCATATGAAATAAGTTTCTTTTACTGTCCCATTAAAGTTATATGAAGTGTATAAAGAATTATTGAGTGTTGTTTAGTTTCTAAACAATTGTTTTAGTTGTTAAATATATTTACGTAAATCTACGATGCATACCTACCTACTGGTAGGTAGGCATCTTATTTTATCTACCTAACTGTAACTATGTACAATAAATGTCATAATATTAAGTGATCGTGAACGTCAACGTCAGGCAAAGGGTCCGATAAAACTTAATATTTTTGGGTTATCAAAAATTCAATAGTTGTTATCTGCATAAGAGTGCAATTGTTATTAGGTTACTAGCTCTTGCCCGCGACTTCGTTCGCGTGGAATAGTGACTTCGTGCAAAGTTTTGGTATACTTAACCATCTTTTTTTATTTATGCTTTATTGTACACGATAAAATGAAGTTGGTACAAAAGGTGGACTTAATGCCATATGGCATTCTCTAATAGTCAACCTTTGGGTTCGCCGCTTCGCACGGGTCCAACTACGCTATCAAAGGGTCACTTTTTCCTAATCTTCCCCTCTACTTTTCTAATATTTTCTTTGATAAGAACCTACTCCTGACAATAACAAACACAACAAAAAAAGAATTAGCAAAATTGGTCAAGGCGTTGTTGAGTTATGCGTTTACCAACACATTTTGCGATCCATTTTTATATATAAAGAAGATAGTAGGCTTACCTGTATAACATAACTATCATTCATTTATAATTAAAGGCCCCAATAAATGTACTTAAGTAAGTAAGTACCTACCTATCTAAGTAAGTAGGTATTTATTAACTTGTGTTTTCCTCTAACATGAGCAATGGTTGGTTCATAGGCAGCATCCACTCAACCGACGCATAAACATAGAGAAAGCCTTGAATTATTGTGGTAAATGCTCAGTTTTTGTAAACAGCGACCATGTAATACATTGCAGACAATCCTACAATGGGGCTCATCATACTAGTATTCACACAAATGATGAAAATTGCACCGACGTGATAAATAAACAAAATTGTCGCCCTTCGCCTACTTACACAAAACCGTTGAGAATCTAAATGAGGATTTGGTATGATATAATCTTAAATGCTCAAACCTCAAACTACGTAAGCAGTGCAGTCATCACTGCTTGTCAAGTTCTTCATGACCTCCGGTTTGAAATTGTAGTAGGACAATGAATATGGTAAGATACATAAGGTAAGATACAAAGGTAGATTTAAGCTAGATACACTATAAAATTAATTCAATAAACTTTACTATCATTTGCACGCTAAAATAAGAGCAAATATTTTGGTCCCATTTGAACCCTGGGGAACACCTAAGTGGGAACAACTGTCATTTAAAAATAATCGATTGGTTTTATATCGGTGACAAATATGAACTAATGTAACAGAGTTACCTGAGAACTGATTGATTTAACCTGATAATAAAATTAAAACAGGAAAAGAAGTGGAATTAAATTTATGTACTTGTAGAGTCGAGTAGGTACGTTCTTTAATAAAAAAAAGAAGACATAATGATAATAAGTGGCTATTAAGAATGACCTTCGAATGGAATACAGATCAATGATTCCAAACCAGTTCGGCGATATCGGTCGTCATCGAAAAAGGAAGAATACAATGAAATAAAATAAAAGTTATTGAGTACTATAAAATAAATTATGGCAAACATGTTTTGAAAAAAAACCTGAACTGAAAATCAAGGGCTAGTTTTTTATCTAAGTGTGTCTGTGTTCCACCAAAACAAATCATATTAGTAGTAAACAACGGTCAAATTTTCTTAGAACCCGCCAATTTGTTTGCACATGTAAGCTATGTTGACATTCACACTCGCGCGGTCGTGAACACTAATCTGCACATGTTACGCAAAGCTTACACACAAAAACTATGCTTTAATAACGAAATTTGCGACTAAGTGGACCACAGTCCCTAATACGATTTTAAGAAGAACACCTTATGTAACTCCGGTCATTAGGCTGACCAATATAAACAGACGCGTGCATAAGATTGCTGTTATTATGGAACACAACAAATTATTTAGGAGATTAGATAACTAAAGATCGCAAACTTTTTACAATCAATATTATTGTTTACTCTCTAATTTTTGAAGAAAAATATGATCCAATTATTATCTGGCTCGAATACACTACCTGCGATCATACACGAGCAAGAACAGAACGAACATACATAAATTATCGGGGAGCGAAAATATCAACAGAAACCTGTACTCGCACATAAAGCCAATCTGTGGACATTTAACAGGCAATTTAATCTAGAAACTGACTGTCCTTCGATAGCCTACCAAGAGTGTTAAAAAGCTCAAAACTCGTCGCCAACAGGAAAACAGATATTATAGAGAAATTGCAACTTACCTGCATGTTGGCAGTGACGTAGATAGTAGTTAGAGTAATCGAAACACTTTTACTTTCGTTGCACTAGTAAGCCGTTTAGTTAGCGATTGACCTGAATCTCGGCTTTATGATTTCTACAGTATTTCACGATATTTTCTCGAAGCCAGTGAAGCGTTTAAGCGTACGTCTGGTTGGAGAATGCTGGAGCGAGCCGTGGTGCCGTAACCTCTTACTTAACTCGACAATCCCCTCTATTTCGACTTGGCTGTACATACTCGACGGGCTGCACCGAGATTGTGCGTCAACGTTACGTGACCACGCAGTGTGAATAAAACACTAATTATTGTATTCATATATTATTTTATTTTAGGTACATAATGAGAACAGGAAACGGATCATGCTGTATGTGTTTGAAAAAACTACGTTACATAGTGTATGTTGTCTAATTTAGGAACGCTTGCGTAAAGATCAATAGGGTAAATTCTCCACAACATAAGACATTACTGATTTTGCATTATGCGTACTATCATTCATCACATGTGACCAAATTATTATGTTAATACAAATTAGTTACAGTCAGCCAATAATTCGACAAATAAACTAATTATTTGAAAAATAATAAATATTTGATAATCGATAAAATTGAAATTGTCTATGACGAATTCTTTTGTTTCTAATTTATTTATTTATTTTAATTAACAAATATGTAATTAATACCTAATTAACCTAAATTTCCAAGAGAACTTATTAACTTTATTTATTAGGTTTAATTAACAATTTATTTTTAATTTTGACCCAAAACAACAGACGTATAATTTTCTACGAAATTTAGTTTCATAACAATTTAATCTTAGGTTCGTTAGTATCCACATCCGTCTTTTATGTCGTAATTATTTCGATTGGTTCTCTACAATTTCAATAGTAGCTGTTACTCCAAAGGAAAGCAAATAAGTTTCTATCCACAATGTGTTATAAAATGAATGATACATAATAATGAAACGTTAAACATTTCCCATTATTGTTCTGATGTTGCTACATCCCGATTAGAATGCAATTCCACTTTTGAAACTAGGCCACATTCTTTTTTTTAAAAGACAGATTATGGTAGGAAGAGGCGTCCACTTTTCAAATCAATAAGAATTTAGATATAATTAAAATACAGAGTTTTTATTTATTTGTTTATACAACATGAAATTTTCTCATACATAAAACGATACCATCAACAGTGCGAAGAGAGTGAGAGAGAAAAAATGGTCCTGTCTCTATTACGCATCAAAATCAATACATGATAAATAGACATAATTCATTTCAGTATAAAAATATAAAGTTAATTATTGTTTGGTAGGTATGTACTGGTTAAGGGCCTGCTGCAGACGAGGTACTTTTATCCGCCAAAGACTTACATAGTCATAAAGGATTGTGAAAAAGATCGTGACTCAACTACCTATTTCACGGGGTAGGTACTCTTAATTCTCTTTAAATGTTATTCGATATAAGTAGTTTTGTGTGGATTTATATCGATATAGTTCAACTTCATAAGGGATCTATATTGACAAAAAGTACCCTGAGGATAGTTCCTCCTTTGCACAGGCCCTGGGTTGTAATTTTTAACCGTATTGGCGGACAATTTTCGCCCACTCCCATGGGTAGTTGCGCTGTACAAAGGCCAGTGTGCGTCGAATCTGGCGCGTTTCCTGCATCGAACATTGAGGACATGCCCCTCGGAGTACCAACGGAGCTAGAGCTGGAAGAAAATTGTTTACAATTAGGTTATTATTATATAGGTTTAAGAAATATTCCCTAATACAAAAGTGCAATGTTTGTTTACCATAATAATATTTTTCACACTTAGGTGCCTGACTTGGTGACTAAATAAATATAATTCGACTGCGGTTGACTCGGTGGCTGGGCTACCGGTTGCCGTGCAACGTGTCGCGGGTTCGATTCCAGTACGGAACATCTCTGGTATGGTCTACAAATATTTTTTAAACGCACCCAGGACACAGGAGAAAATAATAAAATGGGGCAACGTCTTATTGGTATACGTACCGATACTATTTGTGAAGAAGTTGGGACATTAATATTCTGCGGTTTCTCTTTTATGTTAGTCAGACGGGACAAGCTAGGTCCTTGACGGGTAGGTTAACCCCAAACAAAGAATTGTGTGAGGCGTACTTCAATGTTTAAAGGCTTATTTACGCAATACAATTTTCTTGAACATACTAGAGCATTTTCTAATTCAATAAATATGAAGCCATTATCACGATACCTACATACATACGAAACCATAGTTAGACTATACAAGTAAATAATTTCTTTAATGCAAAAAAAAAAAACAAAAAAAGAAGCACAGACAGGAATCTTGAGGAAAGAGAAAGTGAACAATCTTCCTGCTCTAGGTAAAGCGAGAGGGAGTGACAGATTCCTACTATCTAAAATCCGTTCCTTCTCCTGTTCCGGGCCGGTGTTTAGTTAAAGAATTATTCAATTGAGATGTCGTTTATCGTTAAGTCTCTTTAAGCATTAAAGTCTTATCCTATCTTAAAAAATCCTACTTTTATACACTAGTAAATGTCTAAATGAGTCAGGCTTGTACCTAGGCTACTGTAGTTGTAGACTGTTCTTTCCCAATCGTCGGAGTAGGGATAGAATAAAGAGCCGTTATTACTTAGTTTACTTAAGGGAATCCTAAATAAACATCATTCTCTATACATAGGATCAGTATGCATCATAGGCTTCTATTTGATTATATTGATGACCGGAGAACTGTGAGTAGCAGTAGAACGCTACTGAATCGTGCAAAATAATATGCAATCTAAGTTTCTTAACAGAAAAACCCAGCAAGCAACACTTTCCTTTGAACTAGGAATTGCACATACCTAAGTAGTAAGTAGTATAAAGCGTCACTTTACGCAAGTCAAAATTGCAGTAGGTAGTTATAAGAATACCTCAGCTGGGTTGCGGGACAAGCGTGATGAGGCACCGCGGCCTAGGCCCAGAGCAGGAGAAGGAACGGGGGCGTTTTTAGTCAGTAAGAGTCTGACTCTCCCTCCCGCCTGACCCTTTTTTTGTGAGGGCGTGAGAAGTCATCAGATGACTTCTCACGCCCAGGGTCGGGCAGGAGGGAGTTTCAGACTCTTACTGACTAAAACCCCCCTTTTTCTTCTCCTGCTCTGGGCCGAGGCCGCGGTGACTCATTGCGCTTACCCGCAGCCCCGGCTGTCCCGCCTGACCCTGGGCGCGAGAAGTAACATGATGATTTTTCCCCCACAAAAGGTACTTACAAGAATACCTACTTTAAGATTGCTTTTTGGGCTGCTGTGCCGAAAAGGTTGTAGACTTGAATGTAGCATGTCACACAGTTAGTTACCATATAAGTATACCATAGATGATAGAACCAGTTATCATATTCCAGTCATAGTTAAAAACCCTACAAAAACCTACAGCTTCATTCTGTCCAGGTCCTAGAGGGTAAAAGCGACAACCCTAATACTAAGACTATTAAGAATCAAATCCAAAGTCCACCTATCTGTCACCAGGGTATATCTCAATCTCATGAACCTTAATAACTAGACAGCTGATGCATTTCTGTTATTTCTAAGTATGTATACAATAACGAAAATACTAAAAACATCACTGCATAGTATAAAACAAAGTCACTTTCTCTCTCCCTATACCGCATGACCCATGTATTGACATTTTTAATCATTAAAACTACGCCAGGGATTTTGATGCGTTTTTTTTTATGAAAACAAAAGAGGAGGTTTTATAGGTACTACCTACCTATGCACAATAACATACATTTAACATGATGGGTCGCTAGTATAAAATAAATTATTTGTTAAGTCTCATATTTTAAATAATACACGGGATTTTGGTAAGGAAGGGTTCTTTGTTCGCGAGTCCGACTAACACTTGGACGGTTTTTATGTAATAGGATGGTAGACGTGCAGGGTCAACTACTTCATGGTAAGTAAGTAAGTATGTAAGGTGGTCACGCCACGGCCTTTGATGGGAGCCTACGTAATAGGTTTAAAATAAAACCGATCACATTTCAAACTTACCTAAATTATAAATCTAAGTATCCGTCCGTAGCTATGGTAAATAATTTATTGATCTTTACCTTCATCTAAATCTTAGTTGTGCATCTTAAATAGTCAAACCGTTACCTTAGTTTATAATTTTTTTTTATTTCTCTCTAGTTGCTAAATATTTTGGATAATCTGCCATTTTCTAATACTAATATAATATGCTGCTCTTTATTTTTCCTTAATAAATAAGTAAATAAATCAGAGCTCTTAAACGCCATAATGTGTTCCCTTAAATATTGGAGTCGCTATCTTGTAATTCGAAGTTTAAATTTTATTGGCTTTAGTGATATTTTTTATTTGCATCATCGATTTAATTTAATATTAGAAATTCATTAAACGAGCCGCACTTTAATTAAGTATTAGATCGAGGTACTGTTTAGGCAATTAGGTACCTACCTAAGCATAGTAAGGTAGGTAACTAGTTAAAAAAAAATTAAAAGTTCGGTATTATATCGATTTTTTCTAGATTTTCTTAGAAAATCGCGTAACAATTAGGAAAATACAGCAACAAGAGACATGGAGAATTGAATAGCAGTCTGCAATACCTAGACTCCTAGAACCTAGTATTCATTGTAACAAAAAAAAAACTATAGATAATGTGTTAAACCACTATTGCCCATAACGAAGCTCACACAATAGTATGACTTCAGTCATAATCTTTACACAAATACCTAAGCAAACCATTTTGAAAATACCACGAAATTTATGTATGGCAATATTGATGATTGGTGTGACTAAAGAGTTTAGATTACCACAAAGACTTGACATGAACCCCGTGTACATTTAGAAGATTTGAATAGATTATTACATATTTGTACCTCGGTTATAACTTGCTGATGATGCTTTCGCGTCAGAATGTTTATATAAGACAATGACAGCAACAATTTTACTCCTTAGATAACATTTATCTGAACTATTGAAAAACCAGCGCTAAATGGTTTTAATCCTTTTAAGTTAAGTTCCTATTATTTCGCAACTTAAATTTTATTTCTTTCAATTTTGATGTCGTAGGTGTAACGTGCTGGTCAAAATTGAAGTAAAGCCGATTTATTTTATGAGCCTGCAGAGAAAAATAACACACGTACCCCGTTATGTGTAAGTACTCATGTCTCTTAAAAATAAAGTGTTCTAAATACAAATATTTAGGTAGGTGTAGGTCTACTTCCTCTGTTTAGTTTAGTAAAATATGTGTATCTGTAACTCACTTCGTAATCGTCTCCCAACAGGATCGCAAGGTCCTTCGCCGAGTGCGCATTTGATGTGTCGCTGCATCGTGCTCTTATCGGCTAAAGTCTGTTCTAATTGTGCGTCTGTCATTTGAGGCCCGGCCTGCACATGCAAGCCGGCAACCAAACCTACACACGCCACAACTAAAACTACGACGATCTGAAATAAAGTGTAGGTACCTAATAAGTTAAGTTTCGTCAGGAGATTACTGCTTATGTTATTTTTACTTTTTAAACATAAGAGTGGGTAGTTTAAGATCAGTAAGTTTTGTATTATCTTCTGTCAGCTGTAGGCACCCGATTCGCCTGTCATAACACAGTTTCATATTCATAGTAATCATTATTTATCTTATTTTAGAACTATAAAAAAAAATAGACTACAACAAAGTACATTTAAGAATAAGATAGCATAAGTACTGTTATTTGTATTAAATTACTTTATAAAGTGATGTGAAATAATATCACTTTCACGTAAATGTACAACTTATTATAGGTAGGTACTTTTCTCAGATTTGTTTCCAAAGCCGTGAACTCAGGGCATCAACGTCGCTGACTCACTCAAGATTTACTTTTAAACGAATATGATTACAAAGTTCCGTTGAAAACGATTGAATAACGACCACGCAATGTTTTAGTAACACGAGGAACGTGAAATCGGGAATTTTATTACATAATTATTTAAAATATATTGACTAAAACTTCGGTGTTATTGAAATTTTAATTACAAAAATATTAGATTATTTATTTACCTACCTGCATTATAGAAACACCCACTCGGAACGGATTGAATTTCAATATTTTATCACTGAACTTGTAGTAGAAACAGAGCTAAATATTTGGGTTACGCCGGACCAACGATTAGGGAACGACTGACCACTATGATCGTGTTAATATTGTGACCGGGAATGCGGCCCTCCCCTCTTTGTGTGGTCATTATCTCGGAATTGAGGGCTATCCTTAGGAAATATTTAACGATATCCCACTGTTTACTAATTTAATATTTACTTTAATTTAATTGTAGCCAAATAGGTATTTAGGTAAGTAACCTACTTACTTATGTATCTAAGTGTTTTAAAAACCTACATTTATTTTAGAGCCTATTAAATAGTACTCTAAGGAGTAAAAAATTAAACATGATAGAATTTACATCTCGCTAGAGTGTAGGGACTTAGGTACCTATCTAGGTATCGTGCGGAATCGTGCCTACTCTCTGTAGGTAAGTACTTAATCCCGCTAGCGTTTCTCCGTGATTCATATCTACGCTCGAGAAGGGCGTCCTAGTCGTAATTTTTTTATTGAATAATGATATCCGTAGCATGTAGATAAAGATTGAAATCTTTCAAACTAAATAACTTGTCTAGTAAATCTAATTTACCCACTACCGCGTTTGGTTAACGAAAATGTTTAATGTTTACACAAATAACAAACTTTATTAAAATTATGTTTTCTAACAAAATCATAATTGTAATCAAATTGTAATACAATATGTGATAAGTAATCGTTATTTGCTTGAAGTTTATTTTTTTTCTTACTACGAGGTTACTTTTTTGTACTTGGTATGTACTTTGCTTATGTTTAATTTTGAATCATTCCCATTCAGTATAATGTATCAGCTACTTTTTAAACTAGGTATGTAGTTATCGTCCTAAGTATTTTAAATATTGGCGGCAAAAATAGAAGCACAACATAAAAAATAAGGTACAAGGTATCGTATTTTCTGCGTGAACAGATATGTTATGTTGCACTAATAAAATATCTACATGCCTTATAACACAACAAGTAAATTAATCTGAAAAAAATGGTGTCCATCCACTTAAAGACAAAAAAATGGCTTTGTAACTTTCCTACATAGGTAGTCGATTTTACTGTTGCCAACTCTATTGAAATTGGTTTTTGGCCTTTTTGGATTACACGGCTAAACTCACCAAAAAACGAAATAAAGCTACCTTTATTTATTAAAATATTAGCAAGCGTGCATGCAGCATATTATTTCAATATTTATGTGAAAATAATTATTTCGTAATATCCAGTTACGCTAGTCCACACTTCCACAGACTCGACTATCTACCAATCTATAGAGTCTACCCACTAACTATTGGTGTTGACTGGCTAAGTGTGAGCAATACAATAGGGATTCGTTTACAAATTCTAATTCGATATTGATTGAGGTGTAAATTATTTCAGTCAATGATATTATCAGTAATAAAATCCCACTGTATAAATTCGATGTTATGAGTGATTGTTGAAATATAATAAAGAATAGATTTTTGTGAGCTTTTATTTAGCAGTGCCCTTTTGAAAGTTAATAACAAAAGTTACCGAGTAATTATCTACTTGTCATTCAATCATATGTTATCAATTAGTGATGTCAGTTTGTTTACTAATGAAAGATTAGGATAAAAACGCCTAAGTTTTCTATTTTTCGTAATGAATTTCGATGAATCGCCTGGAGGTTCGTCGAGTAAAGGACAAGAAAATGGCGACGATTCGAATGGATCTGATCGCCCACTCAAGAAAGCACGCTTTGCGTGGCAAGTAAAAGGAAAATACCATTTAAAAAATGATACAAACGATGCGGCTGCGGAAGCTACAACGTCTACTGAGTCGGAATCAACTGATGAAGAAATGGTTGCTGGTTGTTCAGGCTATACCTGTTTGACACCAGATGACCTATTAGACAATACCGATATAAGTGAAGCCATAGATCCATATTTAGACACTTTAGGCGAGTACATATACGACCAAGAGCTGAAAAACTTACAGTATGTTACTGGTAATGCTGATGAATCCCTTCGAAGAATAAGTAAAATAGAAGATTTCGAATATAAAACCACAAGAAATGATTCTGTTATTGGCAGTTATGAAGTGGACTCCGTCCCTATGTCATTAGTGGCGTCAGAAAGTTACACAGAAGACCAGTGCATAGCTCGATGGCAGGCTAAACAGGTAATAAATAACACAATTGTGTTGATAGTTAAAGTGCAGCCTGGTTTGTTTCAAATGTTAAACATGTTGTTTTCTTAATATTACAGATGGCGAGAGGATCTATTGACAATACAATAAACCGTGTCCTAGATTTCTGTAAGGAGAATTCATCAACACCTGAAGAGGAACATGTAGCGCATGATGTGGCAGAACTAATAGACAACCTCCCTGAAGATGACAGTATTGAGAATGAAGGAATTCTTATGGCTATCTCAGCTCATGGATTACAAAATGCTTCTAACTCGTCTTTAGTTAGAGTTGGGGAATTTGAAGAACACTGTGATGCTATAAGTTACGATGGAATACCAGCAAATGTAGAATTAAGAGTACCTACATCTCAAAATATAGAATCTCCAGAAAGATATCCACATGATGTAAATTTTGGATTGAATAATATAGATATGCAATGGTCTTATTCTAATACTGAAAGAAGTAGGGGAAATGAAAATTCCCCTTCTCCATCAAATGTAGGCTTGCCATTTGCATTTATTGAGAATCTCCATAATGGTGATGTAGCTTCTGGGATAATAAATGAAACTGATAATCACTGTGATGTCCTTGATGCGGCAGTTCTATTTGCCATACAGAGTAAAGGATTGACTACATTTGGAACTGATTATGGCTAAGATTTATTTTTTAAGTTTCATATTTTACTAAGACTTTCTGTTCTTGTTATAACATACCTTACTGTTGCTTATAAAGACTATATGGAAGCACAAATGGTTCTTAACTATAAATGTTATGCAGTTCTGCCATAAAATCAGTATTTTTAAATAATAAATTTCCTAAGAGAGAATTTGTTGAAATTATAAACAAATTCATGTAAATAAACCAACCTATTAGTTATAATTTTAAATATCTGAGGTGAATTCTATGTATACTGTACTGGTTTCAAATGTAGAAGTACAAAAGTTTCAAATGTTTTGAAACATATCATGCGACTGATTTTGAAAATGTGGACTTCAATTTTGTACATTACCAATGCATGTTTTAATATTAATTTAGTAGAATAGGTCATTTTATCATTAATATCCTATGTTATCTGTCCATTACTATTAAAAATGTTGTAGGACTTAATTTTATAATTTGACATGTTTTATATTCCTGTGAAGGTGTTTTTTAAACCATGCATTTTTGTTGTATTTTTTTTATTATAGAAAATTATTTACCTTTTATACCGATGCCTATTTAGTAGATTATATTTCGTGTACTCATGCAATTTTAGTATTAGAAAATAAAACAATTTATAACATAGTATTAGTAAATATACATGTATGCCATAATGACATTGCAGTCAATAAAATGATACTCAACCAATATTTTATTTAACTTTTTCAGCACCTTTCTTCGTCTTCTAGGAGTCAATATTAAAAAAAGAAATTACTTCCATAAAGCTGGTCAAAGAAATGCATACCTACTATTCTGTAAACATATTTTTTTTAAGTTTGTATTAAACATACAAACTTAGTCTCTCTCTCTTTATCTCTTTTGTTTTTGATTGCTGGACTTTTTTTTCAATATTTTTATCTTCTGTGAAAAATCTTTTTTTGCCGTATTAATAATGAATAATAGTTTTAATAAAAAAAATGGGTAGTTTCCTAGGTTAAAAATTTGACGTTTCAATACGATTAAATAATGTAAAATAACTAAACTTTTATTCATCGATACAATGAATTTTAGATATTTATTAGCTATTTTTAAGAAATAAGTAAACTATTTGACGCAAAAGAAACTATGACGTCATAACTCAGTTTTTCATACAGAAAATTATCGTGTTTGGATAAAAGTATTGATTCTGGAAACTACCGTATTAGGTAGGTATACGTCAATGACAAAGAACCTGAACCACCTATAGACTGTAGTTTATTATTTAGAAATACGATCAATTGCTGTTGGTAGGTTTACCTAGTCTATATACTATTGACCACCTATATAAAGTTAAAAGTAGGTTGTAAAATTATAAATGCATGCAGTGCATTACTATTTTGTGGCTGGGTTACTGACGAAACTGCTGTGTCGTTGGTTTTCATAAATTGTTTTTCTGGGTGCCATTTATATGTGAAGTATCCATGTTTGTATGTAACCACATTTAAAATAATATCGAGATGGGCGGGAATTGTGTTAAAATTGAAATAAAATTCCTCAATAACAATTTTATTATTGCTTGTTATTATTCACATAATACAAAATAAACTATGCACAAGTTTAAGACCACTGATATTCTATTTTAGACTTCATAAAATATTCTGAATTACAACTCTGACATTCACAACAGTTGCGTTGCATGTAGTGTAACACGTAACATTTACAATTAGTGAAATTAATATACAATAGCAGCAGTCCCTCGTCAACTAATTGTGATGTGCTCACCGCATTAAAATTATTATTACATTCATGGCCGAATATCCTATTAGGTTTCTAAATTATAAGTAACTGTACAATTATCAGCAATTATTCGTAATAGTCATATTAAATATATTTACACAACTATAAATACTCATGTATTTCTCTCGGATGCCAATTGTTTAATATTTAAGCACAAATCAGTGATAAAAGTACACGCCTGCGCGTGAAATAAATAAAATTCACTGTTCGAGTATGAGATAAAAACGAGAATCTTTCACAAATTAATTATGTACTTAAATCATTGTCATGGTCGTAAAAATAAAACAATATATGGTTTACAATCTCTGCAAGATTCACAATAAAAAAATAAAAAACATCAATTTAATTCAGTTAAAATTATAAAAAAAATGTTTCATTTAAAATACACATAAATCATTAAAATAATCAAGAGACATTAATAGATTTTATAGATATAAAAATTAGTTATTTGTTATTGGATTTTAACTTTTAGAAGAGTTATGACAATATTAATCAGTTTATTCTTTCGGTATTTTATATTGTCATCTTTTTAAAGTAATACAGGTAATCTACAGCAATAAAACAACTTGTAGGTATCTGGTTTTGATAACGTTAATTAAATTAGTACATAATCTCAGGATTGAACTTGAAAAATAAATCATTATAATAATTTACTAGGTAATTTAATAATAAGCTAGTGGTAGACCATTATTATTATTAAATTATACATTTAGGAAATTATACAGCACGAAAATATTACGTGCTTAGCACGATCTTAGAGATAGTTTATGTGTATTTCTTAACGATTAACACTATATTCCGACTTTTAATTGTACGCGGTTTTTGTATTACATTTAAAAGAAGCGCCAAATATGTCTGCAATGCATACGATTGGAAGTCGGAGTATAACATTACACTAACGGACACAATTATTAGCCAATCGGAAAGTACACGTATTTGTACTTGGATAATATATTTTATTAACATTTTACACTTCCTAAAATTATCCATTAATATATGGATTTAAAATATTTATGTACTTACTTAATTATAGTGATAAAGACGCAGTTTGTGATAAGGCAAGTCTGCCCTTAGGGTCCGTTCACACAGACCGGCTCGGAGAGGAGAGCAGATTCTTATCACGATGAAAACAGAGTTTTTAGTATGTGTATTAAGGTTTATTTTTTTATGTGCACAGCTTTTGTCATTAAGAATGCTTGAAGGCGCTTGGTGTGAAATAATAAGAGGAGCTGACCGGCTCCGATCGCGTACTTTTTCTCGATCGTGCAGCCGTTTGGCTCCGATTGCATGCTCTTTAATGCTCGCGCAGCCGATCGGTTCCGATCGCGTGCTCTTTCTCGCTCGCGCAGCCGATCGGCTCCGATTGCGTGCTCTTTCTCGCTCGCGCAGCCGATCGGTTCCGATTGCGTGCCCGTCGCACCACGCCGACTGCCATTTTGCTTTCAACAAGCAAGCGACAGCCGGCTTTCGCGCCCCTATTGTATTTCTATCGTGTCTCGAATCACTTGTGTTCGAAGTTTTCAAACGGAACAGTTGTATGCACTTGTAGGAAAACATGACTGACGAAAAATTAATAATACTAGTGTCAAAATATGAGTGTTTATTTGACATAACCAAGCCATCGTATAGCGATCGGGTAATGAAAGACAATGCGTGGGAGGAAATAAGCAAATGTGTGGGGTTAAGTGGTAAGTACCTACTAAGATTTTATTGTTTTACACCTATCTCCAGATATTCGAACGAATTCTAAAGTAAGGGCTTCTTAATTTGCCGTAACTTGTTAAATTCAAAGTCAAAACAGGAATAACATGAGTTTAAATGTACCCTCACTTTACTCGTAAAAATCGTTTGAGTATCTGAACGTTACAATATACCTACTCAAGAAGTAGCGAACAATTTTTATTAAATATAACTTAAGAAACTCGAGTGGCCACTTGATCTTGCCAATCTAAAGCACCACTTGCTGAAAAATAATCCTTAAATTTATTTCTTATGGTTATACCTGCGTCGATATTAGAACTATTTTCATCATTATTGTCTGTTATCGCTGTTAATAAATTCATATTGCTGTGAAGAACATTCTCTTGTCCTGGTGATGGCGTCCGATTTTCTATTAAAAAATTATGTAAACATGTAGTTGCTAATATAATTAAGTCACAGTACTTCGGTTGGATTTTCATTCGTTTTTGATAAATCTCAAATCTTTGAGTTAGCATTCCAAATGCACATTCTACGACTTTTCTTGCTCTGCTTAAACGCAGATTAAATACTTTTTTTGATAAGTCTGTTCTTGTTTGTTCTCTCGGATACGGCCGCAATATGTTATTGCTCAAAGGGAATGCTTCATCTCCTATGAAAACATGTGGTAAGCTTTCAGTGGTATTCGGTAGAGGTTTATTTGGGGGCAGCTTTAACTTATTAGTGTTCAGTTTTTTTCCAAATTTTGAATTTTGTAAAATTCCACCGTCGCTATTTTTACCATACGATCCGACATCAACAATTAAAAAGTTGTATTTCGCGTCTACCACAGCTAGTAACACTGTACTGAAAAAATTTTTATAATTATAGTATAAGCTTCCACTATTATCTGGTGCCTGTATACTGACGTGCTTTCCGTCTATAGCGCCCAAACAGTTAGGAAAATTCCAAATATTAAAGAAATCACGAGAGACCTTGTCCCACATTTCTTCATCTGGTATCTGCATAACTAAGGGCATCAAAACATCACAAATTGCTCTGATTGTCTCGTGAATTATTGAATGAACTGTAGAAATTCCCATTCGGAAATTAAATGACAAGTTTTTGAAACTGCAACCAGTAATGAGGAATCTGTAAAAACAAACAAAAAATCTAAATATAACATTGCCGCGCCAAAACGAAGTATAAATTAAAGAAAACAGTCCACTGACTGCATGCTCATTTACCCGATGAACTAAAGGAGGGTGATGTTTTTAATTTATTTATTTCTATTTTTTCCAGTTAGGCAGTGCATGGATCGTTGGAAGAAACTGCGAGATAACTTCAGAAAAGCTTATCATAACCGAAAAGGGAAGAGTGGCGATGGTGCGACATCATCCAAATTAATAAAATTTGAAAAAGAACTTTCGTTTATAATACCGTTTTTTCGTAATCGGAACCAAATATCTAATGTTACATTATCATCGGATGAATCGGAACCTGGCACACCACTACCACCAGCATCGACATCATCTAAACGTTCTGACCATTCCGAAGTTGAATCGCTTGCAAGTACTTCCGACTCGAAAAAGAGAACACGCTTAAACAAAGATGTTGCTACGGTTTTCGAAGAATATCTTGAAGAAAAAAAAAATACTAAACCCTTTGACAAGGCATTACGCAATTTTTTTTTGTCTATGTCAGATACAGTGGAAACGTTTCCAAAAGAAGTTCAAGCACGAATTAAAAAGCGCGTTTTTGACATTGTTAACGAAGCTGAATTGAGTCTGTATGAAAATAGTGCAGATTTGAATTATTCTTTGCCAATAAATTCTCCGCCATCCTCTAATCCATCTACTTACCATCAGTTATCAAACGAAACCTATATTTGTCAAAACTATCCAGATCAGACTACTTACGGGTACAGTACAAACACACAAAATACAAAATAATTAATAAACACAGACAATCAAAATAATGAAAGTCAAATCTGCACTATTTAATTACATTCAGCCATTCAATTAGGTGTAATCTTTAACTTTAACCATTTAATTTTAAGCAATGTTTAGTTTAATAACTGTTTCTTTTACTGTCTAATATTTGATATTTCAATCAATCAGGACAATAACGGCAACATACGTTAACAAAGCTTCGGCTGTGATCTTGTGACCTGAATAAGATGATTATTATAAATGATTGTTTTTTATTTACTTACCTTAAAGTTACCGTTAATCTTTCTTCGGCTGGAATGGTGCAACGATAATTTGTAGTCGTTTTTGTTATATGTACTCTTAACAAATCTGTCAATTTTAAAAATTGCCAATATTCCATACGATAATACTCATAAAATTTAAGGCTGTCATTCTTCAATTCCTCGAAAATGGTGTGAAACTCCCCATGGATTAATCGATTCTTCCAAATATTTTTTGCCCATATTTGTCTTCGCTTGCGCTTTCGTTTGTTTTGTTCAGCTTCAAACAATCTTGCTAGCAAATATATTTCTTCATCGGAGCTATCTAAATCCATGTTCCGAAAAGCACACGTTAACACCGAAAACAAAACTTGGACTGCGTGGAATACTGGTACTGCCTTTGCAGTGTATCCACCCGGCTCCGAGCGCATCCGACCGGCTCCGAGCGCATCCGACCGGCTGCGAGCGCATCCGACCGGCTGCGAGCGTATCCGACCGGCTGCGAGCACATCCGATCGGCTCCGAGCGCATCCGCTTTCAGGCCGATTCTAGCCGGTCTATGTGGAATAGTTGACGACTCCGCTCCGACCAACTCCAAGCGTATACGATCCGGTCTGTGTGAAAAGAAAAATGCGCGCCGATGCTCTCCGAGCCGGTCTGTGTGAACAGACCCTTAATTTCCCTAAATATTTTTTCTTCTTTGATAAGTACATGGTGACATTTTATAAGTAATTTGATGTATAAATCAATGCAATACAATTGCGTTTCAACAAGTGATAATACATCTTTAATGTGTTTAAGTGGCTGTTTCATCTATTTAAAGAAAATACGACTGACGAGAATTATTCATTTGCTTCTAAAAGTGTTTCTATTTGGAAGATCCAACAATACTTGCATTCAGGTAATAAAAATAGATATTGGCACTGATTTTGTTGTGCACCAACTCACTCAAAATATAACAACATATCTTTGCATATAAATACTTTAGTAAATAATAATTTTTAGATGGCATATTTCAGTCTATGACTTACATTTGAGAAAAGAATTTAATATTGATACATTACAGAAACAATGTACTTTTAAGTTGGTTGGAGCTACCAGAATCAATGCCTATATGCATGTCACATTTCATTGGTTGACAAGTTATACTACATAATTAATTTATAATATGAGTTGTTTCCAGTAGAAACATAGAATTGTACTTTCTTTATATTTTATGATGAACTGCAGCAGTATATCACACCTTCCCCAAATATTAAAAGGCATTTCAATTTAATCTACCTAGTGAAATAGTTGGCTATCACTGGTTGTTATTAATTTGCCAACCTAACACATCAGCTAACATGATATTTAAAGTTTACAGACTTCATCTGCAACCAGATGATCCCAAAATTGCTCTCCAAATGAATTTTTATTGTATCATTTAAATTAAATTAATATTATAATGACTGAAACAAAGATTCGCAATAATAATGTTAACATGCTGGCTCCAAAATGATTATTATTATAATTAAAACAAAGCTGCACGCGATTACTATAACTACGCGACCACGTAACGTCACAACCACGCGTATATTTGGAGCCAGCAGTTCCAGTGTATAATCTCAGTTCACTATTTAGCTACTTGTATATTTACATAACTTATATTACAAGTTAATTTAATATTAAAAAAATCTCCAAAAGTTAAAAAATTGACAAACACATTAACACCCTTATACTTAACAAAGCGTATGGATTCATCATATTTACAAGTACATAAAGATAACGCGCGTAATGTTACATGCAAACTAGGGCACCAAAATAATAAGTACATTATTATCATTATTAATATAGTGAAACTAGGACCGCCTAAGGTGTCTTACAAATTGTAGTATAGTCCAACTGATTCAACTTTGACTCAATAGCACACTTTGTAAAAGACCAAATAACGGGTCAGATGTGCACTACATTCAAAACTGAATGCCATCATATATTTAGGTCACCATTTTCATAAGGCGGAGAATGTTTATAACTTATTCACCTAAAAATATTTACAATATGCACAGAGACTAAAGCAACACGCATAACAGGCATCAAAAATTTCAGGGCAGCCATTTTTATTGCTTATACTTTGAAGTACTGTATCCATTTATGTGCTACCAATACTTTAACATTTATTTGCTTCAACAGATATGCGTTATGAGGAACACATGTTATATATATTCCATACAAGGCTTATTAACCACGATTTCTTAGATTTAGGTTAAAATAAATAAAATGACAATCATAACAGACTAGACATAACAGGACCGTCTGCACTTTCATCAATAACCTATTCACCAACCATTCTGTGGAGTTACTAGTAATATTGTATTTCGATTTAACATAATATTAAAATCAAATTGTAAGTCTTCAAATACATTTTAGCTATCTTAATTTAATGTAACTATCCAACATGAGATCTTTCCTAGCTAGGGTACCAACAGACCATATCATATGATGATCAGACAAACTAACTTCATACCCAAGCCTACTTGTGCTCACATACAGTGTCCATCTTATTTGATGAAGTGAAATAAATATTTTGTGATGTTAGGAGAGGATTTCGACTCAAATAGGTGGTAGGAGGGGAGGTGAGGGGGGTACGGCGCATCGCTATGGTTTGAACTTCACTAGAGGTATATTCTTTGAATGCAGGCACTTGTCACATACCCATTCCGCATACACTTCTGCTGTCAGCAATTGAAACGCAGGCTCTGTTAGACCAGTACAGCCCCTGAAATATTAAAATAATGGAATATTAGTTGGTTATTTGCACAAATTGAATATTAATAAGACTTTATCCCTGTAATCTTCAATATAAATAAATACATTTTAACTATAAACAAGAATTGTTGTGAGTTTGAATGTATTGATAAGACTTCTATATAAAATTATTGTGTATTTGGTTTAATCACAATGTGTCACCAGTTTAAGACTTATCAGCATAATAAGTCATTTTAATTTAATAAGAGAAAGTTGTTTTATCATCATGTTAGTAACAAATCATAAATATCAATCTCTGTAGTTTTATGTAGCAAATAGTACCATTCAGAGTTTTAAAATATTTTAACTGTGTAAATTAACTTGACAATGGAAAATTTTGTGATTTTTTTAGTTACAAAAATGGTCTAATAACTTTAAATGATAAATGATACATACCGATGAAACCAAAAGTTGCAGCCAGATTCACATAATATAGCTTGATCATTGTCATGTACTTCTTTGTGACAAACTCCACAAGGATAAATAGGGGGTGCATTAGGGTTTTGTGGATTAAATACCATTGGTTGATCAGGAGGGTACACTTTTCCAGCACTGACTGGCATAGGTTTTGGTCCAAACATGCCCATGTTCTGGCCCATAGGACCCACGCCCTGCCCCCCAGGACCACCCATTGCCATCCCACTCATTCCAGCAAGTGGTCCACAATTTCCCATATTACCTGGCCCAGGTCCCATACCCATCGATCCATTTCCTCCCATTCCCATAGGTCCACCATGACCCATGTGACTGCTAGAGTAGGGTGGGCCTGGGCCCATAGATGTCATAGGTCCATTACCACCCATTGGTCCACTTCCCATACCTGAAGGCATTGGACTTCCATGTCTCATAGGTCCACAATGCCCTGGCCCCATACCACCACCTTGCATAGGATTAGATGACATTATTGAATTACTAGGCCCCATTGAACCATTAGAGCAACTAGGCCCCATTGGCCCATTCATGCGTGGAACATTCATGCCTGGTCCTCCACCACCCATAGGGCCATTCATTGGCCCATTCATAGATCCTGCACCAAGAGGACTGTGCATAGGTGGACCCATAGGACTGTTGCTCATATGACTACCTGCCATTGAACCCATATTCATAGGACTGCCCATAGGTCCAGATGACATTGGTGAGCCCATTGGCATTGAATTCATGGGACTCATTGGACTACCCATTGATCTTGAAGTTGGTCCCATTCCTGGGCCCATACTGTGATTACTCATACTCATGTTGGGGCCTCCCATGGGTGACATGCCACCCATATGTCCCATGGGACTCATATTTCCCATTGGGCTTATACCACCTCTAGGAGGCATTTGCTGATTCATAGGGTTCATACCATGTGGGCTCATTAGTCTCATTGGTGGACCACCCATACTGTGCATCGGTCCCATCATACCCATTGGACCATTTTGACTCATCATTGATCCGTTTTGACTCATCATGGGACCATTATGTGATACAGTGGATGGGGAGTCATCGAAAGGGTTTGAAGCAACAATTGTATCTCCATATCCTGTTAAAGGAGGTGGCAGTAGATCTTGTGCTGTGGGAGGTGGTTGAGGAGGTGTTAATGCATTGTTTGCATTTGAAGTTTTCCTTCGTTTTTTAGGGTTGCTTGGTGCTGGCGCCGGCGGAGTCGGCGTGTCCATTGGAGGCTTGAAGTCTGGAGGCCCTAGACCAGGGCCTGGCAGCCTGTAGGACGGCATTCCAGCCAGATTGTGACTCATTCTGATATTATTCAGTTTCAGCTCTAACAACCATCATCATGAATCAATAACATGAACATTTTAGAAAATGTATTTGCACATAAGGCACCGCATTGTCACGAGAAAGCGCAATAACGTGCCGGAAGACTGGTTGTGTCTATTTCTGTAACAAAAAAATATTTGACTTGGAATAATTTCACTGCAAACATTTACATTTATAGTTCAAACTATAGATATTAAACGATTTTGTAGTGTTTTGTTTCATTGATCGTCAAAACTCAGTAGTAGATGATGGGTAAGAATTTACGATTCTCAAGATTGACACTAACGTAAGTAACCTGCCAATAATACAAGCAGGAAAACATAATTCGAACCGTAAATTGTTATAATACTGATTCTTTTGTTTGATATAATTCAAGAGAATACCATAAAACTTACAACATTATCAATTTAGCATCAGAATTACTGATTATTTTTTTTTGTCTTCATTGAGATCCCAAGGCAGGCGTGCAACATATGACAAAATACCAAAAGTAAATCACTTTAGAACGCCAGATTTTGGGCTTCACTGAAAGCTTCTTGGTTGTTTAATGTTCTAACACACACGAAGTTCACTTATAACAGGGTTTAGTAATGCATCAAAAGCATTTTTATTTACGACTCACAGTATTCCAAACAACACACGCCACATTCACGATGTACTTCCATGACAAAATTCCCGCGAGGGGGCGCTTTGATCTTATATTTTTTAATCATGCAAAGATAGTGAAGATGTTTTAATCAAAGTTAATAAAATAATGTACGGATATACAGACAAATATTTTTATTTTAAATATTAGATTTTTATTTTAGTTTTTAAGTATTATACTGTTTTGTTGATTATTTAGTATGATTGAGAAAGTAAATGTTGCCATTACTAAAAACTAGGAAATGGTAAAAACTTCATTCATTTTTTAACACATCAACTAAACCACAACTTAGATTTTTGTTATTTATATAATTTGTACAAAAAGTCATTATTAATAGTGTCACTAATACCATTAGATTTTTCAATAACCCACTAAAATGTATTCTTTGCTTTTTTGCTATTTATAAGATATTAGAAGGTGAAGATCGATACAGATCATTTTATTCTAAGAACTAATAATTCGCAGGTCAAAATCGGCCTCAATTTATAAGGAACAACTAATCCTTAATCCCTAATGGTAATTAATATTTAGTCAATAGTTATGACTTTGATAGATAGATGGCAGAATTACTGATTAGTTCGTCACAATTTGGTTTCCCTATTACATCACAGATGGCGCAAGGTGTACCAGTTTTTTGCTAATCTGGCGTTGGCTACTAGCCAACGACATTTTATTGAAAAAAGAAAGGAGCGTATTGCTTTTTCCTATTCATATTAAACCAATTTTTAGTAGGCGTTTTTATAACACTATTCTTATTAATTTATCTTATACGTTTGTTAATACAGTAGTAGCATAGTCTCAGGGTGGTGGCTGGTGGCCTCTTCAACCGATAATTATCTAGTACCTAGGTATGTAGGTACATATATCTATTATTGTTTTTTTTTTATTATTATTATGCTCCAGATTCGTATTTATACTGGTTCTACCTTAAGCTGCTTTAAGCATGCTTTCTCAGGTCCACTAACATTATTTTTCTAATTTTAATTTGTGCGTTTTCTCAATAGGTACGGCTGAACCATAACAAGCTGTAGCTTATTCAATTTTAATCTACGTGTTCTCGTTACAACAATATCCTTTGTAAAATTATTCACGCCTTAAAGATTTATTATAAAATCCGAGTTGAAATGAATACTAAAGTTGCTCACATCGAGAGGGCTGAGCTCGACTTAAATGCACCGCTTAAAAAGACAGATGGAGGCCCATTATGCCAAGTTGCAAGACTCGCGACTGCACCGCCGCTAACTCCTACAGCTCCTGACTGCCTTTAAAATGATTTAAACCGACACTCCTTTAAATATACTGTAAGTATTATATTTACCTAGGCGCTTGATATACGAACGTGCCATTTAACTTTGAATTTTATTTTCTTTGAAGTAAAGTTTATCGCCTCAAATGCTGAACTCGTTTTTCAATAGCCAGGTAGAATTTGTTTACAGAACTTAAAACCAATGTTGAAATATTAATTCAATACTAATACGAGTAGGTAATGTAGGTAATGATTTATAAAAAAGTCACGTCAATCTCTCGCCTTCATTTAAAAAAAGAGGTAGTTATTGTGATTGTCTTTTCAAACAGCACTGTTGCCAAAAAACTATAAGTAGATACTTAATTTGCCACAAATAAACGGCATAAAAGTTGATAACATTCAAAGCTTATGAAACAGTTACAAATTCCAACTGTACTTGGTCAAACTTGGAGTGAAACATTTTCACAGATTTTGCTGTACAGCGCTGCAAAACCTCACCCAGGTATACAACGTCTTTTTACTCACAAAACTTTGCTCTGCGGATACACAGCGCGCTGTCAAAAATGCATACATTGCAAATTCCCATTTCTCTTCGTTTCGCTTTTTCAAATAAATATGCTACTCACTAAGAATTTTGACAGTGCAAGCACGAACTTTTATTTTGTTGGTTTAGGTACCTAAGTTGTGTTTTACTCCAAAAATATTCACATTATCAGTTTTCTATTTCATTATCATCATCAGCCGGTATATGTCCAATGAAGATCTAAACAGATGGTGAAAGTAACTTGGAACCAATTTTTTTTTTTATAATGAAATAGGTCGGCAAAAGAGCATACTGATTACCTGATGGTAAGCAATCGGCGCGGCCCATGGACACCCGCAATCGAGTTACAAGTGCGTTGCTGGCCTTCAGGGGACTAGGGTTTGGAATACCTTTTTGAGAACCGGGGAGGGATGGGGAAGATGGGAAGGATTTTGGGTCTCCGGTTACCTCTCACACGGCGAAACACAACGCTGTCACATCGGTTTTCCCTGAGGCCGTGGTATAACTCCGGTCAAGCCGACTTATTCGTGCCGAAGCTAAGCTCTGCCACACTCACACGACTTACAATAGTTACAATAAATAGGTTCATACTTTCCTGTTTAACAATAATTGAACTTATTACCTATATTGTAATCTTAATATAAGTAGAAATAAAAGTTTTACAAGCTTCAAAAATGAAAAAATGCCCATAAAGCTTATTGATTCATTTCTAAATGCCTTTTATTTGCAAAGCTGAGAATACTCGAGTCTGCACTTGACCTAGATAAAGGTGGAGGCTGTCGTGAAGCACTGGGCCGTATCACCTGGATTAAAACGGTTAGGTGAGACTAAATTCAGTGGGAATAAATTAATGTGAATTTATAGAGGTGTCTTCAAAACTCAATAGGTATACAAAGAGTGTTTAGTATCCATTTAGGTTAATTAATGACTATTATCTTCATACCACTAATATTGAAGATACTTGTACCTATGCAAGAATATAGACAATTTTAGTAACATTTCGTAACACCTTTTTAATTTTTGGTTTGAATAAAACTGCAATGATACAAAAATTTAAACATTTTTATTGTTATTTAAAATGATCTAATTCAGTTTGACAATAAAAATGTGGTAAAGTCACAAACAAACATTCATCCAAAGCACTTTACAAATTACTTCCGACTTATAAACAGTACAAGCATTTTATAAATTGAGATACCTAAAAGTTTGAGCGGGAAAATAACGATACAACAGTCAACGGAGTTTTCTTTTTACGTAAGAAAATCTTATTTTTATCCAGTCAAGAGAATGATGTTTCATGAGCGTATAAAGGTAATTTGCCAAAATGTAATGAACGTTACTTACGATACCATGTAAGCACCTTACCGTCACATGTTATTATTAAAAAATGAGAGCAAGAAAATCATGGACTGGAAAAAGCTATCGGAGCTGGTTTTCGTTCATATTTCTCGAACTAATGGCCAGTTATATTTAACGTCAATTTGTATAGATTAGGTATTATTTGTAAGTCTTTATAATCTGTGGTGTGTGGCGGCCATTTTCTCTTTATGACATGTAATATTGAAGTGTGACGTATAACTCACTTCATATTATATAAACTTTGTACACATATCTAAATAAATAGGTTATATATAAAAAACAAAAGATTTATTATTATTTACTATTCGACAAATTACATAAATACAAGGTGAGTACTTAATCAATCACAATCCATTAAATTATTTAGAATTAATTCTTAGACAAATATTACGAATTACTTGCTTTTAGATTACCTACATTATTTTAATGAAGATAAAGTTTTCAATTAAGAATCCGTCACAGGCAAGAATATTATAAGATCTGTGAATGGAATACCAAAGAGCTAAAAGTCAAGACAATTATAATAGTTCGAGATTGAATAGATTCCAACAATCCGTCTGGATTAAAATACTGGACAAAGAAACTAGGATAAAGATATTTAAGCTCGGTAAACTATCGAACAAATAAATCGAAGTAAGATTCTTAAAAGTGATATTATAAATTAGTAAATCGTATGTCCATTAAAATATAAAACTTTATAATATAAAATGTTTATATACTTACTTTTAGTTTTATTATACTTACTTAAAGATGCATTGATTCATTGATGCATCTTAGTGTCAGACAATGTTTAAAAAGTAGTTAATAGTTTGATTAATGAAATACATAGTTTTATGTATATAAACTCACAAATTAAGCGACCCGTTTAATTGTTCATACTTGCCTGCACCTAAGCGGTTGGTGTCGCGTACACTTGAAAGTAATATACGGCACATAAATATTCATCAGGTAGTCATTAACGTCAGTGCTTAAAACTAAGGTATATTCTAACGTAACTTTGTTGCAGTTTAGCTAACAAAAATAGCATAAATTTAAAGGAGGTTTTCCCCAAGTATAACCTTGGTTTAAGTTCTTAACGCTTGCGTCGTAAAATTTATAACGAACTTGTACGAAAGGTTAGATAGTTTGGTTGATACGCTTCGGGAACATTTAGGTACTGTTTCTTTGAATACTTTCTTGTCATGGAGGTAAAGTTTTGACGTTGTAACGCGGTTACAAAGTTATGCTAAACGTAAACTTTCAAGATTTTTATAAGACATTGAAAAATGTTTGAAGCACCTAACTCAATATACGATACGGGTTATGTAGTACCTACAGTGTTGTTAAAATGTAAGTACATTTTTCTTATGTCTACACGAGCCATATGTTGTCAGTTATATTTTGAATAGAATTATACTTTGTGTGTGTACTTTGAGTATCCTGCTTTGCACAATTACGTAGATGATATCAATGTCAAAATTTTTCAATTGTAAATTATTACCAGTCTGAAATTAGGTACGAGAATATTAAGTACCTACTGAAAGTAGGTAGATTGTTTTGGAAAATGCTTAAAAGAATAAAGTCGTAGGTATCTACCTACATTTCTTTTAGAAACCTCTTAGCAAACAGCACACATCTTGCAGGCAATCTGAAAAAAACTAGCTGAAATAAAAACTGTACGCGTAAGAGAGCGCGGGCTATATTTCATGAAGAACGCCATTATTCTTTGCACGTCCGTCTTGCAATTAGCTCGGGCGCTTCGTTTTATGTTGCCGCAATAACTGCTGGCTCCCAAGCGAACTTAATGCAGAAGGCGTGTCTAATTCTACATCAAGTGTTGCTTTATCTTGAGGCTAAGAGTGCACTGGTTAGCGGCTAGATGCTTGCGTAA